AGGCAATCCCCGAGGTGATGTATCAGAAATCTGTAGGGTGCAACCTTATCGGCATTTAATGAGAGAGAGAAAAAAAAAGACCGTAAAACCGCGCGCGAGAAGAAGCCTGGTGGGCGTTTGAGCTGGTAAACCCCTCATGCTAGAAATCTCATCTAAACCGCAGCTGGACCCGATTGAGCAGAAGGAGGTTGCCTTCTTCGGAGGGGTGTCTTGCAGCTTTGGATTGGGCCGGTCCGAAAGGTGAAATCCGGGCGGACAAGACAAGAAAGACGGCCACAATCTATCGAGGGGAGGGGCCTCGGGAAGATCAGTGGCAGATCCACTCAGCAAAAGATGGATTTGCCCCCCTCTGCCTCCCCAGATCATTTTGAGCGTCCGACCTCCTGGTGTGATTCAAGACAACTCCACCGCGAGAGGCGTCTGGGGCAATTTTAGTTCTTCCCTTCCTGAGACCCGGAAGGGGCAGGAATAGATAGTTAGGTGAAATTGAAGTGGTGGTGATGATGACAAGAGTAGTGGGAGAAAGTGGTGGTGGAGGATGCTGCTGGCGGGACAGATTGCGCACTCCACTACCGTCAGGAACTAGGTGGCATTAGTCTGCACACTATTTCCCCCTACATCTCCTGGCACTGCTGGCACTGGCCGCAGTTCAGCACAATCATCGATAGCGCGTGAACGGTGGTAAAATTGCACTGGCCAGTGCAGCCTAGGCGTGATTTCCCTTCCAGTGTTAGTGGAATTCCGCTGGAGGTCGGCCTTTTATCCGAGGCTTCTTATTTACCTTTACCTCCCTGAATTCGGTCTTGAAACCTGAGTCAGGCCTCGAATCTATGAATGGCATCTTTTAAAACAAATATAATAGTAATAATAATAATAATAATAACAATAATAACAATAATAACATCAACAACATCAACAACAATAATAATAATAACAAAAAGAGTTTCTAACGGGTAGAGTTTGTTTGAGCCTTTCACCTGCTCTTACCTGGTCAGGTTTTGATCTTCCGGTTTAAGCGCCGTCAAATGAGTCTGATCTACAGACAGGGTGTCGTTGGTAATACTAGGAAGAAAGCGGCATATTTACCGACATGCAAAGTTACTACATATCATATCAATGTCTTAGTTAGTTACAGCTCGTGTCGGATGAGACGCATGTACGACTCTTTTTGCAGGAGCAGTGGGCGAGAACTCGACCCAGCTGTAAGATTATCATCGCCCCTTGGTACTTTGGTCCGTGTGGAGGTTCATACATCGTATCTCCCAGGTGCAGAAAATCTCGAATATGCATTGTGACTGCCGAGATCGATGCAGCCATGTATGTACGTAGATAATTGCTTCTGGTCCTTCAGCTCCCCCCGAACAGCTCGGAAGGGGAAAGAAGAATGAAGAAAGAATGAAGACACTGGCAGTGCACGTAACCCAGCAAAGAAATGTCGCATTGAAAGAAGATGCAGGAAAAACATGATCATTCTGGGAGTTTCAGCCAATGTTGCCTCCTGTTGGGCGTACTATTCTGCTTGCTGGCTTGCTTTGCGGCTGAGAAACATTCTGCTGCCGGTTTACTTCCCGTAACCAGACTCGCCCCATCTGCGGCGATGGACCAGAGTTTGACAAAGAACGGGTGAGGGGGAAATGAGAGCAGTGGCCACAGATAGCACCCCCTCCTGCTTTGTCAGGTTCCAGTTGACGACAGTTGACCAGACCCAGGAGAAAGCTGTCAAATTGGTTTCGGCCACCATGCCTGCGGCATTCCACGGAGATACAACACGCACGGTAACGTCCGGAAAATGCATTTGCTGCAGAATATAGACAAGAGATAACATACCAGAGAACTACTTGACGATAACGAAAGCCTAAACAAAAATGAAAAAGAAACAATTACTTCAAGCGGAACAATCGATAGTAGACCTAGCTGGCGGGTACCCCGATTTGACGAGTAGTATAAGTAATGAGTTACAAGTATTAGTAGGTATTTACCAATCAACTCTCCCGGAAACCCTCACTCAGTACTTACTAGGCAGTATTTTCATCTTAGATACAAGATACCGTGATGTACCTCATGTGGGATGACTTGATAGTCTCTTACGGCATAAACCCACCATTACACTGGCTACCCTTGGAGTGGTTCGAATTGATCGAGGGAATTTCCGATCCAATGAGTCAAACGGACCGATCACTAACTAACCATCAGCTGGATCCCCCAAGTTTCATCAGCGGCGCGATCGGAGAAGATACCAATCAGCTCGTGCTGAACCAAGGTACCAAATATCGCATCACCGCGCATGGCATTGCATGGCATTGCAGCTCGCCCCCCGTAGCTCTTTGTCAATTCCCGATGCACCAACAGGTGTAGTAGGGGTTGTAGCAAGGTACTAGGCAAGCAACTAAGGATCCTGGCCTGTGCCGGATCTCATCTACATCTATTCCGCCCGCACTACTTTAGTTCTATCTGCGACATCCTCTCCGGTAGGTAAAGTGTAGTAGATACTCTTAGATTGTTAGTCAGGCCAGTGTATATTTAGTTAGTGGAAAGGGTGAATTTGATTTTCTCTTCGGATCCGTTGCCTCCTTCACAGTCACCTGCCTGCCGAAACAGGCAGTTCGACAGATGCGCCAAGTTCCCGACCCAGTTTAGACTCCTGATCGGAAGGAGAGATCCTCCTTTAGGGCCACTAAGTCGCGCACTAAAGTACGGCGCACTAGGTACGGTAAGGCCAGGGGTGACTAAGGACGAATGAACGGACTAACCAAGTAAGTAAATACTACTAGAGAGATCGCCCGCGATGGCGAACAAGGTGCCTAGTACCGTCCCCGGGGTCTGGATTTGTGTTTGTGGTGTGCTAGGGAACGTGGGCATCACCCATCCATGATCTCAGTATCCGTTAATTTCCCACCTTCAGCGGTTTCCCACCCATCCTCTTGATCACAGCAGAAGATTGGGTTTGTCTGATCAGACCATCCATACCAAATTCGGAGTACATCCATTGTGCAATTTTTAAGACTAGATCGATCTGAGTCTTTAATAAGTAGAGGAACAAATAGAGATACGCGCATCAGGCGAAAAGTAAGACAGTAAAATAAATTAAAAAAAGGTAATAATTCTGGTAAATTAATTTTGAAAGAAAAAAAAAATGCAGAGCGAAATGTGAAAAAGGAAAAAGCAAACTGCCAGGGGGAGGCGATTGAAGGAGCCGTCAGTTTGACATGGAGCAAGGGAGAACGGAAAGAACTTTACCAAGTACGTAGTAAGTAGTACTCCGTAGTAGTAGTTTAGTGAAGGATGTATAAGTCAACTGGCACTATTGGCGGGATGACAACCAAGCAGCCCAATGAGAACAACGTGTTGCGGAGCAAGACGGGGCAGAAAGGAGGGGCCAAAAGACCCAAGTGCAGCAGGACGACATAAAGAGAAAGAAAGAAAAAGGAAGCAAGCAGGTGACATATGAACTGACTGACAAGATATCCCGCGATTAACTACTAGGTACTTACTTAGTCTACCTTGGAGAGAAAGATGATCCCTCAGGTTCCATTATTTATTATTATGATTATTATCATGATTTCATATCTTATTTCATTCTTGCGCAGTGTAAAAGTCTAGCAGTATTGATACTGTAATATAGTCACCACACATCGATAAGAAGAAGAAGGCAGCGATGGAGACTCTCCAAGAGTTGGTTTTGGGTACCTGATCCATGACTGCCTACCACGGGTTATCGGATAAGTTGAACTAGAAGAAGAATGGGAGAGGAAAATAAAAGATAGGAGATCGAATGGTACAGACCAGTGCGTGCCAAAGCCAGTGCCGGTGGTTAGAGATTGAGGTGATCCTTACCTTCTTCCTCTTTACGACGCAAAGAAGAGCCAATTGTCTTGCCTCCGGGGTATTCTCTCTTTCTCTTCATTTGCCATCATCCGCGGCAATGGCTGGCGTGAATTGCATGCGCAATTCGCCTTTGGTTGCTTCTCCAACTCATGACCCGGGGATCGACGGGAAAGCTTACTTCAGGGCCCCAACCCAAGACCATGGAAGAAGTGCTCCTGGATTAAACCTGAATGACAGGACCCGAGACAATGGGCGTACCACCAGCAGCAGAAGCAGCTAAAAAAGTCCGGCCGAAAGGGGACTCCACTCAGTTCTTGCCCAATGGGGCCGCATGGCCGATGCCGTTCCCTGGCCATCGTCGATCTCCCATGCGTTCGTTCTCTCTGGCCTTTTTTTCCTTCCTTTTTCTTTTTTTCTTTTTTCCTATTTTCTATTTTATTTTTTATTTATTTTTTATTTTTCTTTTCTTTGCTGGGGAGGCGCACGAGCGTCCCCGTCGCTATCGCTCATGGAGTACCTCTTCCTGGACCCATCCATTCTTTCTTGCACCATCCAGTGTCCATATCCACTCTTTTTCAGGGCTCCACTTCTGCCTCCTTCCTGCACTCACACACTCACACTCACACTCTCTTCCCTCATTGTCCCCTCATCCACTCTCTTTTCTCTCCTCCATGGAGTCTGAAGCCCCGTAGGCCGGAGCGATGGCGTCTTTCTCCAGCGTGGATCCTTATCCACACCCACTTCATTCCCTCCGTACTTCCTCTCCTCCTAACAACCTTAGTCTGTACCTGGGGGACTTTCCCACTGGTTCTTTCTCTCTATTGGATACTTTGCTCCGGTCCCTCTTCCTCCTCCTACATGGGACACCACCCCCCCGACTACGGAGTACATATATCCTGAGATCCTCCCCGATCGTCCTACTATATCATCCCTGATCTTCCTCTTCCCTATCTCATCTGTGTATATCATCTACCTTCTCTCTTCTCATAAGGCCTCTCAAGTGTCTTATCTCTCTATTTTCTTTTTCCTCTTTCTTTACGGTTCAACTAGTCATTGAACCCTTAAGAGTCCTGAGGCCTTACCCCTCTCTCTCTCCTCTCTCCCTCTCTCTTCCTCATACTTCACTATCCTTCTTCCATTCTCTCTCAATCTACTTCTTTAGGACGTGACCAAACATGAAGAACTCAATCCCATCTGACGTGTGGGAGAGAAAGAAGGCTCTGATTGCCAAGTTATACAAGGATGAAGAATGGCCTCTGAAGCAGGTCATTAAGCAAATTCGTTCCGATGATTTCAACCCAAGGTGAGAAGAGGCTCTCGGAAAATATCTCATTGGGTTTCCACCGGTGTGCTAACTCTGTCTCCCAAGTGAGACTCAATTGCGGAGTAGATTGAAGAAGTGGCGGGTCACCAAGCCCTCTCGCCAGACACGCAAGAAATCGGACGATAGCCAGCAGGAGACTACCGGAGATGACAGTGGTCAAGAAGATGCATCCCCCAAGGCCCAGTCTTCCACAGTTTCCCCCAAAGCACGCCCCCCTCTTCGCTCAGTCGCATCTGACATCTCTGTTACCGAACCGGAATGGTACATGGCCAATGGTGCATACACGCATCATGAGGACCTGCCTACAACAGTTTGTCTTGATGGACAAAATATCTCGAATGTGTGGGCTCCCATGATGAGTCCATCCCAGAAGCAGCGGGATCTTTCCCACGCATCTTCCGTGATGGTTGTCCCTAGCTCCAACTCATATGACTCGCCGCACACATCGCCGTTGATGGACAGCATGTTGGCCAACCAAACATCTAGCATGGCGTCGCCTTTCCATGACCCTTCTTTTGCTGTCACTACAGACTGCATGCAAACACCCGCGACAACAGCTGGACCAATCCAGTGGTCTTTCCCTCAGTGGTACTCGATGCCTCTTGAGGCTGGCAGTCCATTCTACGCTGCGGCACCACTGAGTCCTCCTATCGATCCCGCCATGCACCTGATGACCCCACACCCCCAGACACCGCCGCCTTCCAGTATCGGGCGGCAACATATGGCCGACCTGCACGAGGGGCCCCAGTCATGGAAGCGTGCTATGTCTGCCCCATACGTTCAGGATACCGCTGGTGGGCATCCGAGATTGGACCAGAAAGGCCCGCAGAGACGGCCGCTTGATCGGAAGGCCTCCCTCCAACCAAAGTCGGCCGGTCAACCCGCCATGGGGATCGTGTCTCCGTCGGCCTTCTATCCTCACGGCCAACATCCTGCTATGTGTGCGCCCATTTACCCATATCCTGGACCCGAGCCACTTGTGCACAGGCCTCAGAGCATCGATTTTTAAAGCATTACCAGGAGCACGTCGCTTAATTTATGTGAAACTAATATTTTCTCATACTGGACACTTGGTTTGCATCCACTGGTCTAGTTACCTTTACACATTTCTGGGGTTGATCTATACTTCTCACCTGTACTTTTTGCCTCTCGTCTTTGCTGTTTAGTTGAACCGTCTCCTTCTCTTTGCTGCGACGCTGGAAAGGAGCCAGGCAATCTGAACATTACATCTTGTACACCAAGGAAACTGGCACTCGGATCATGGGATACCTGGCGTATTGTGGTTGTGCCGAATCATGGAGTGGAGTGTGCTGATTTTGATGATATCCACGCTTGGGATCAAGGAGTTTGGAATTTTCTGTATCATTTTCCTTTGTCATCTATGTGTGCATGGGGTTAATGATGTTTGTACGGGCTATATCATATGTATTGATGGCTAGATCGACTGGACGATCGGCCTATGAAGGACTGGTTCCCTCAAACATGCCAAATATTTTTATCATACAAGGGTGCACCCAACAGCCTCCCGCATTAGTTATATAAAGTTGAATTTACAATATAATTCATTTATCCATCGACCGACGATGTCTGGGCTCATGATGCAGAGGAAAGAGAGTAACTTACCTAGGTACCGACTGAGAGTTTCCTCTTTGGGTTATCCGACGACGGACCTCGGCTCAACCCCCGGTGTGGGGAAAGCTTCCCCCCCTTTGGGTCCCACCAAATGGATGTGTCCTGACCCCAAATCGAGTCCGCAACTCCAACACAATACCCAGTCCAAGACGGTCCACTCACTCACTCACCGTCTTTCTTTGCCCCGTTTCAACATTACATTTATTGGCTTCACCGAAGAAAGTAGCACAGACATCATTTAGTCGTCAGCATGCGAGCCATTCAAGTAAAAGAATATGTCAAGGTCAGTAACAGAGAAGTTGATCTATACTATTTGCCACCGCTCTACCACGGACAAATTGACTCACACTCCCAACATACAGGGACCTCAGGATCTCCAAGTCGCAACCCTTCCCACGCCTTCCCCATCCGCAACGGACTACCTGATTGAGATCCACTCCGCAGGCACAAACTTCTTCGACCTGCTTCAAATCCAGGGCAAATACCAACACCAGCCTCCACTACCCTGGATCGGGGGCGCAGAGTTCGCAGGTACCATCCTAGCCGTGCCCACCAAAGCGCAGTCCCCACGATTCAACGTCGGGGACCGAGTCTTTGGCGCCACACAAGGAGCCTACGCTACCCACATCCTTGCTCCAGAGCACACTCTCCTCCCTGTGCCGGCAGGCTGGAGCTTTGAGGATGCAGCGGGCCTCTTCGTCACGGCTCCTACTTCATACGGTGGTCTTGTGCACCGCGCAAATGTCCAGCCGGGCGATTGGGTCCTCGTGCATGCGGCGGCCGGTGGCGTCGGGTTAGCCGCGGTGCAAATTGCCAAAGCTAAGGGGGCGACGGTGATTGCGACGGCCGGGACGGAGCGTAAGCGACAGATTGCGCGCCAATTCGGGGCGGATCATGTCATTGATTATGGGGAGAAGAGCTGGCCGGAGGAGGTGAAGCGGTTGTGTTCACAATATCGCACGGGGAATGGGAAGGCCGGGGTGGACATCGTATATGATCCGGTCGGGATGATCGAAGCGAGTCTGAAGTGTGTGGCGTGGAATGCGCGCCTTCTGGTTATTGGCTTTGCAGCGGGAAAGATCGAGAAGGTTGCGCTGAATCGTGTGTTGCTGAAGAATGTCAGTCTGGTTGGATTGCATTGGGGACAGTATGCACGATTTGAGAAGGAGACGGTACAGACAGTCTGGAAGGGGATCTTTGATCTTGTGGCGCAGGGCAAGTTCAAGGGTACGGCTTTCAAAGATGAGAGCTTTGTAGGATTGGAGAGTGTGCCTCGCGCTCTGCAGGCGCTGGGCGGCCGGGAGACATGGGGGAAGGTGGTGGTGAAGATTATCGATGATGATGCTATTGCCGGGAAGAGTAAACTATAGAGTAGATATTAATCCTCTGAAGTACGCATTAGGTGGTGATACAAGTTACATAAAGGATTGATAATGCATCTAATTCAGCAGTATTCAATTCGCATTCAAGAATAACACGCGGAGAGCATCTATATAAAGCAAATAGAATTGATTACGACAAGTATGTAGGTGCGCAAGGAGTCATGCTCTCGTAGCAAGTTTTAAACGCGAGCAACATGAACTATGAAGGCCCTAAGAAATTTCTCTAGCAACCTGAAAAAAGAAATCAAATCCGGAACCCCGAAGGGTCCCGACAATCCAGCTCCAGTCGGCCACAGTCACAAGACGTGACATGCGATGACTGTTCTCCAAAATGGAGAGTCCTTGACGGAAGCACAAGCACCCTGATTTTGCAGACCAAAAGGCTGTAAACAGACAGAGCTAACAACCTGGGACAGCTGGATTGCAAAGTTGCGGTGGGGTGCCAATTCTCTTTGGATATGTGTATTGGTGGTGTTTCGTCGATGCAGCACGATAGATCTATACTAGATGAAACAGAAAAGAAGACCTAGCACATTATGAGTCTCCAATAACTGCTGTCCAGCACGTTCGGCGTTGTTGTGGCTCCGATGGTGGTTGAAATGACCATCGACTGAGCAGATGAAAAACAGGAGCAGCCGGCGCGCAGGTGTTTGCTTTTTTGTAGGCTCGCTTACCCAGTGATGAGTCATCATTGCTTGTCTTATCGGCATGTGACTTGATATGGCCGATAAGCATGATAAGGGGCCCATCCATTTGACAGGTAGGAACGCAATACGGTATGCACCTTTTGCATCAATTCGTGGCTTAGCTTGTCCTGGGTCCTTGGTGTAGCTTGCCCAAAATAATGAACCGTGATTGGGTGTTGGGAAGACACGATGCCACTATACTGTGGACGGGACAAGGCCTTGTGAACATGGATGGTGGTGCCATCGTCCGAGATGCCGTCGAACATTCAACTGCGCTCGTTTTTATCCACAATGAACCGGCTTTTCACTTCAGACGAGTTGGGCGTGTTAAGTATAAAGGCTGGGAAATTACCAATGGAAGCCCATATTGCATCACTTCCCCTGAGTATAAGGCAGATGGGCCCTTTGGTGTTGCCAGCACAAGCTCACAACAATCGCCGCTACGTCATAGTCGTATCAGCGTCATTTTGAGTCGATTGCTCCACCAGAGTTTCCTCTCAAGCCATGACTATACTGCGTCTTCACTCGGCTTACCGGTTTTCCGGCTGCCCGATAAACAGGCTTAGATTGCGGAGACTTTCAGGGTATAAGAATTTGCTCTATCGCCAGGGATAACCCGGACCCCTCCCCCAAGTAAAAGCCAATTTCAGCCAGTTCTGACCCCTCTTTCAATCAATGGCTCTATCTCTCCTGAGACTCAAGCCCAACCCGCCGTCTTCCCTTCTACCCCTGCAGAGCCATACATCTATCAAGTCGGTCGCGAGAATGTCTACGTCCTCGAAATCTTCCAAGTTCAGTCATCTTCCCCGGGCTTCGTCCGGACCTTTGGTGTGTCCGTTTGAGGTAATGTCTTCTGCGAGAGTTGTAGCTAAATTAATTGTTGACGCAGTTGTAGGGGAGAGATGCTCTGCAGTCATGCCAGTTCAATAAAGGCTCGGCGTTTACAGAGGAGGAGCGCAAAACATTCAAGCTTCATGGTCTGCTTCCTCCCAACATTCAGACCCTCGAGGAGCAGGTTCAGCGGGCCTACGAGCAATATAGCAGTCGAGATAATGATCTGGCTAAGAACACGTTTATGGCTAGTATGAAGGCGCAGAATGAGGTTCTTTACTACAAGGTAACACACATACTGTCATCCTGCGTCTGCAGATAAGATCGAAGACGACCGTCCAACTAACGTATGTTACAGTTGATTGATACCCATCTCAAGGAGATGCTCAGCATTATTTACACTCCCACTGAAGGCGATGCAATTCAGAACTATTCTCGATTGTTCCGGAAGCCAGAGGGCTGTTTCCTGAACATCAGGGACCAAGACAGAATTGAAGAGTGCCTTTCCAATTTCAGCCGCGGCGAAGAAGTCGACTATATAGTCGTTAGCGATGGTGAAGAGGTAATTTGGCTATCAGCATGCACATATACACGACATGTCTAACCGGCCACAGATCTTAGGGATTGGTGACCAAGGCGTAGGCGCTATCTTGATCTCGGTTGCCAAATTAGCCCTGACCACATTGTGTGCTGGGATACACCCAAGTCGGCAATTGCCAGTGGTTCTAGACTGTGGGACAGATGTATGACAGCGACAAATATCAACCAGGCACGTACTAACCTCGAATGCAGAATGAATCACTTCTCACGGACGAGCTATACCTGGGTCTCCGACAGTCGCGCGTCAGAGGCGAGGAATATGATCAATTCGTGGAAAAGTTTGTGGAAACGGCTCGAAAGAGGTTCCCACGCGCGTATATACACTTGTGAGTAGTCGATATCCCATAGGAAGTCCCGCAGCCATCCATGTAGAGCTTGACTGACATCATTTAGCGAGGATTTTGGCCTTCATAACGCCAAGAGAATCTTGGATAAATTCAAATCGCGTATCCCGTGCTTCAATGACGATATTCAGGGGACTGGCTGTGTCACCCTGGCTGCCTTGTTATCCGGATTCCACGTGGGTGGTATCGAATTAGAGGATGCTCGTGTTGTCGTCTTTGGATCTGGATCAGCGGGCACTGGTATCGCGGAGCAGCTCGCTGATACCATCGCAACTGAAACACACAAACCTAAAGAAGAAGCCTCAAAGCAGATATGGTATGGAAGTGCATCGGGTTGTGAAGATCCCTCGACCCTACAGTTACTGAGTTCTTGCTCTTGAATCTAGGTGTCTCGACAAACCGGGTCTTCTGGTCAAATCGCTCGGAGACCAGCTGACGCCAGCCCAAGTACCCTTTGCGCGAGACGACAAAGAGTGGCCTGATGCGGATTCGCGCGATCTGCTTTCAGTAGTGAAGAAGGTGAAGCCGCATGCCTTGATCGGTACCTCCACTAAACCGAACTCTTTCACCGAGGATGTGATCCGGGAAATGGCGAAGCACGTCGAAAAGCCAATCATATTCCCCCTCAGTAACCCGACTCGTCTGCACGAGGCACAGCCTGAGGACATCAATCGTTGGACTGATGGCCGGGCTTTGATAGCCACCGGCAGCCCTTTCCCACCCGTCGATCGCAACGGGGGAAAGTATGAGATAGGTATGTGAATCCTCCACTACATAGTGAAGATCGGATCATCCCAGCTGATGCCTGACTCTCTTGACGTTGCAGCGGAATGTAACAACTCGACATGCTTTCCCGGGATCGGGTTGGGCGCAGTCCTGTCGCGAACACGAACGTTGTCCAACAAGATGCTTGTGAGTGCAGTCAAGGCATTGGCAGCGCGGTCGCCAGCACTGCAGGATCCCAACGGACCTCTCCTACCTGATGTCAGAGATGTACGGGAGCTTAGCGTCGACATCGCCAAAGCCATTATTAAGACGGCGGTCAAAGAAGGGCATGCTGAAGAGGAGGGAATTCCCACGAATGAAGATGAGTTAGAAGAGTGGATTCGGGCGCAAATGTGGGAACCCGTATACAGGCCCCTTGTGAAGCCACAAAAACAATGAGGAAAGTTAGTTTCCCACAAGGAGGCTGTGCACTCCCAAGCCGAGCCAGGCTCGGTTGTTCGGCACCAGGCGGAGTTGATGATGAGGCTCTGGAGGTCATCAGATAATTCAACAATAACTTTACTAATGCATACCGAATTTTGTTGGAGGACATAAGCATCACGAGATGACTATCTAGACTCCAGATGATGATTGAATGAATTCAGCCTTACGCCACTAGGTGGCGAGGACGAGGAAAAGAGAATAGACTGCTCGTGTTCGTTTAGGCTGTACTAGGAAGGCAGATGACAGGAACTAAATGCAAATACTGCTGAGTAAGGAAGGGCTATCATCCATCGTAGGATTCGAGGAGACGACTTACTGCATAATTCATGAATGGATTGTTGGATGGGTCTGGTTGCATTGCCACTCGGAGGCGCAGAGCTGGTGGACCCAAGGATTTAATTATCCTCCTACCCAGCCATATGTAACCAGGCCTCTGGAGATATGCAGGGTCCATCCGATGTCATCCCTTTATTCTCAATACAGCAGAATTCCCAACTCCCACCGTGTGTGTGTGTGGAGATCAAACCCAACGGGCTGCATGCATAGCGGAAGCTTAATCCATGGTGAGGAGTACTGCCCGGGAAGTTTCCAACAGCAAACAAAACTCTTTATCTCAATGCTGCTGCGCCTTTATCGTTCCAAAACTCTCACTCAGAAAGAAAGTCTTTATCATATATCTACTCTCTCTTCCTCCTTGTTCCGTTCTTAGATTGGATTATTTACCTTGTATAGAACCAAGCAGACAGAGTACACTGTCACGATAGTCTGGAGACCTCGGGTCGATCCTCTGCAGATTTCCGACTTGCAGCTTGTGTTACTTTGACGAGCACCTTGCATGGTTGTGTCGGCGTGCGACAAAGATTCTTTTTACTTCACACAAAACCGCACTATCCATTTCCATCTGTTATGAAGATATTATCAGTTGCCACTGCGCTGGCCCTCCTTTTTATCACCCTTGTCACCGCACTCAGCATTCCGCCTGCGGCCCGAGACGCATCTCTCTCCGCAGATTCTTCATCATTGTTGGATCTAGTTAAGCGGCGTGGGGGCGGTGGCGGGGGAGGGCGCAGTGGAGGAGGAAGTGGTGGTCGAAGTGGTAGTGGAGGGAGCAGCAGCAGCAGCAGCAGTGGGCGCACAGGGAATAGCGGGAGTAGTGGAAGTAGCTCGAGAACTAGGTGAGTCAACGTCAGTCGATTCGAAGGAGAAGACACACAAGACTAATAAGCTCCGTCAGCTCTTCAAGCAACGTTGGGGGCACATCCCGCAGTGGCTCTGGAACCCGGCCGACGTATGGAGGTGGCTACTACTACGCAGGCGGTGCCACTGCCCCTTATACATCAGGGGCAAAATCGCGTTTGGGGGTAACACCTTATCTTTTGCCAGCGGCTATCGTCCCTCTCTACTTCCCGGGCCTTTGGTTGTATGGGGCATATGTCTACCCTTACAGCTATCACTACCACTATATGAACGATACCTCGCACAAAAACGAGTCACTACCTGTGAACTGCATTTGCCAGCAGTATTTGGAATGTGGCTGTGATGAGAATAGTAACAGCACCTACTATGAATCTTTATTCAATGGAACTCAGCCCAGGAATACGAGCGTGGCCAAGGTGGTTGATGTAAACGGCACGGAATCAATTTATATCAACGGCACCCTGGCCAACGGGACGACTGCCGCCGATTCGGCTGCAACTCACTTTGGTGTCCATGGATCTGGATATTGGATAATGGTGGCCGTCGTGGTGGGCATTGTGTGGACGTAATTGTCCTACTCTTACTAGAGACGAGTAAGGTGCCACCACCGACCACATCATGAACCCTCATTATGTATTCCTGTTCTTCATTTACTACTAGTTTTAAGACGAATCGGAGGGCGGAAGATACCCATGTGTTTGGCGTTGAAGTTAGAAGAACGTCTATTAATATCATTTTGCCTCATTCCATTCCATTCTATTTTGATTTTCTTCTTTGTGTTCGGCTTTGCAGAGCCCAGTCGACTCCACTTGCAACAGATTAATTAATTCGTGTTCCCTTTGAATCCCCACCCTCGATCCTGCACTCATCATCCCCAAGAATCGCTTCATCCGTGTCACTTTCGATCTATTGCCACGAAAGCACCTGATGATCTTGCCTTTCCCATGGGTCAAAGGATGAGCTTAAAGGTTAATTAAGCAGAACCGTTGCAGCCTCTCCACCGGGATCGTCATTCCAGCCATGCATGTACCGGCATCCTGATGAGTTGACCACGTTTCAAAGGCCTCCCGCAACAAGGGTCTAGAAGCTCATCTTGGAAGGTCCAGATATGCAATCTTGTCACGCCTCATTCGGGTTTCATCCGTCATCCAATGATCTAGACGTGTCTCACTGCTGACCGGATCCACTGGCGATGGCCTTCCCTTTAAATACGTACATAGTAGCAAAAGTGGGCACGGCAGGCTGCCCCATCAGACATCTGTCAGATCTGACTCCTCCTTTCCTCCCCTTGGCAGCTCCATTTGTCTCTCACTTCAGCCCGTCTGTCTTTCCCTTCTCCCCCCTATTCTTCTTCTTCTTTGCGCCTTCTTCCTGAGCATTTTCTAAACTGGAGTTCACCAGCTGCGCTGTCGCTCCTTCTTCATACATACACCCATCACCAGAGCTGCCACTCCTTCCAGCTCCATTCGCTCTCTATTACACTTCTTCAACAGCATCAGCCACTAGCTGTGGTTTCTATCAGGGTTCCATAGACCGCCAGTGCCATTCAACGCTATATCAACATCAACATCAATACCTCAGCCTGGTTTCTAGTGCATACTACTAGTCCGCGTGGCGTATTGATCCCACTCAGCGTTCTGATTCGCAAGCCTTATACATACGCAGCCAAATAAAATGTATATCTCCAAGGTCCTTCTTGTTACCTGTGCGGCCTTCGCCCCGTTCGCCTCTGCTGCGGTGCAGGCCAAACCCACAGATACACCTGTGCCCGTCTCAAGCACGCATGTCGCATCCTCGCCGCTGGCACCAACTCCGACTCCCGTTTCGCCCAGCCCCCTTCATACAGCCAGCAGCAGTGTTATCATCAGCAGCAGCAGCAGCAGCGTTAGATTCCACCCCAGCTCCTCCGCTTCGCCAAGCCATATGGCAAGTTCTAGCCGTCGCATCTCCAGCTCCGCTATTTCCAGCTCCGCTATTGCCAGCTCCTCAGCTTCTTTCACCAGGTCATACATCACCAAGGCATCAGCTCGCCCGACAACCACGACATCGACTGACGCGGACTCAAAATCGAACTCAAACTCTGGTTCGGACTCTGAATCCGCTACTGCGGCTGCAGCATCTGCTACTCACTCGGGGGCCGCCGCTCCGGCCGTCCAGCTTTCTGGAGGTATGGCTGCTGGGGTCCTCGCCGCTGCAGGATTTATCATGCTCTAAAGTACTACTAGTGATGACTAGTGGACTGCTGTCTTACGGTCATGCCTCTCGGTAATACCAGAGTGGCATGGATAGCTGTCTGCACCAAATTTGAGTATCAGAGGGTGATGTGGCAACGAGAAAGGAACTCCTAACGACAACTCGCTGAGAAGAAGCATCCCATATATGTACTATCGTCAAATTATGATTTTGAGCTCTCCTTTCGGACAGCAGTTCCCTCTCGTGTGTTCACTTTTCATCATGTTTATAGTTCACTAGCCTTGCATATGTCCATCTGACGGGTCGGCAGCGCTCGCTTATCTGTCAAAATTGTGACATTAGTACCTTGCACCTTCTTTATTTTCGTGTTCATGCAATTGCTACTAATTGATTTTCTCTCTTTCTTTCATTATTTGCCTTTGTCCCCTTAGTGGATTGCACAAAAGTAAGTGTATGTGGCTTGCTCCAGCTCCCTGTGAGGCTCTTAGAACTCCAGCCAATCTGCAATGATGGAGCGAACTAGAACTCAACAATCCATGGCCAATGTTGAGTCTTGCCTCAGCCCAGGTATGATTTGCTTGATCCATCTTTGAGGCTGGGCTTATATTCTCTTCCTAAACTGCACCACCCTCCACTTCACTTCTGCTCTGTCTTACATTATAAAACCTTTTGGTATCATCCCTGCTACTCTGCTATTCGTCCGAAGCAGGATCAGATGCCCCGATATAGTAAGCGTGAAGACTAAAAGAGAAGAGTGAAATCCGGCTGGGCAGTGTCCTAAAACTCTCTACCTTTGACTCGACCAAGGCCAGCATGCTTACATGATAGCGAGGGATATACACAGCAATATAGAGGAAGTAAGACTAACAGGTTACAATCGCATCATTGTGCCCGATTTCTGATTCATATGAACGAAAACAAGACACGAAGTGCAGCTAGGATAATGTACAGAGGGGGAAAGGGGAGATGCAGGTTAGAGGACAGAACGAGAGAAAGAGGGAAAAACAATAAGATATCGCGTTACATCAAGGAAAGATTAGGTCCCCGGGCTCTAACTATGCATCCTTGAAAGTCGCCTCGTATCTCTTTCCTCTGAAGGCCCAGAGACCCCAGTTACCACAGGACACGTCATGGGGATCCAGATCGTTGAGATCCCAGCGCAAACTGCGGAAAACGTTCTCACCAGGTTCAAGCAAAATGTCGAATTCACCAGCACATTTCTCGTTGACCCAGTTGATGTCTCGTTCCATATCCCACTGCGTGTATCCCGTGCTGATGATCGGGACCTTGGTCTCGAGGAGCTGCGGGAGCGTTTCCTCCCATTCGTGAGAGCTGGCTGGGTGTCCCAGACCCGGGTGGAAGAGCATGAAGCAGTCCAGATAGGGATCAAAAGGCTGGAAGTACTGCGCTTTGTACATCGTGTGGAAGTAGTCAACGTACGTCGTAATCTTGAATTGTCCTCCAAGTCTGTCCTCCACGATACCACCGAAGGGATTCTCGGACGTGCGCTCGGGCAGCGGGAATTCATCATCCCGGTTGGCCATACTCTCCGGTCCGATGAAGATCAAATGGATCAGGGAGCGCGGGAATATGTAGCTAAGTTGAAGCCAAACTTCACGCGGCAACGAGGACTCAGCGCGAGCCCCCAGAATAAATATGCGCACTGGAGGAGCCTTAAGTCGTAGTCCTTGGATGTCGACACCCTCTCCGGTCTTGGGCGGGTGAAGGGTGTACCGGAGCGCTAAATAGAGCCAATCAATTAGCTGGCGGTCCTACAACTTTATATTTATAGACTTTTCAACTTACCACTGACACTCTTAAGACCCTCCACGGTAAGCCGGCCTTCTTTCCGGACATTGTAAGGGCTCAACTCATGCAGGACACTTCCGATTGTGAGAGGGTACGTGAGCATTCTCGTTACTTGTCGCATGCTTCGGTCATCGTTAATCGCCTCAAATTCTCGTGTGTACAGGAAAGTGTCCCAATTCGTCATGTTAATGACAAAGTTATCGTCCTGCAGTCCGGGGTACGAGAACTCCGGGAAAAACCGACCGGAGTGTAGATCATGGTCGTCTTCATTGATCTGTCGAATTGTCTCACAAATCTCCAGATGGGCCTCAAAATCGTCCATCCAATGGCCCTCGGAGCAGTAAATCGGAACACCGCAGTCGGGACATTCGAAATGAGAGTGCGCGGGCGGCAGACTTTCCGACGTCACCTGGCTCTTGCGCGACTCAGGATCGTGGGGCGAGAGAGGCAAACGAGTCTGCTGATGACTCGGATGGGGGCAGAAGGCGTTCTGCTTGATAAAAGCCGCACGCTGTCGGATTGCAGCTGCTGGAGACTGGGAGAAGGAGTGAAACAGGTTGTTCGGCTTCAGAAGTGCCCGGGCCTCTGGCGAGGCGGTAGATGTGGCAGATGTGGCCTTCTGCACCATCGACTTGACATTTTGTGATGCAATTGAGGAGGCCGACAAGTTGGACGACAAACCATTCTGTTGGACTGGTGCCTGCAGAGGCTTGGTCTTAAAGGAAGCACTGCTCCGAGAGCTCAAGCTCCGCACGCATGAAGCGGGAATGCCGTATCCCCCTCGCCTTGGACTGGTGACATGATGCCAGCGAGCCACGGAGTTCTGGACAACAGCCCTTCGCCGGAGCACCTGCAGACAGCGCCCACAAGTATATTCGCCGGTCATTGTGGGTGCAACGCGACGCTTGAACAGGACTCTTGCAGCAAAAAGTGGCTTGATTCTCCCACGCGGCGGCGGTCCTTTTCGCCCGCGTGCACGTGATTGCACCCGGCCGGTCCCCAGAAATAGTACCTTACTAGGGAGTACAACTAGAATATGAATAATAGTAAAGGCACGAGTCCATTGGATTTTAATTACAGAGGTAGAGACAGTCCGTTCGCGAAACTCAAGGCCAGTAGTAGTAAGCTAGAAGATGTCCTCGCAGGCGCTCCAGTCGCCGCTCTCGCGACTCGTCCAGTATTGTCCGTTGTGTGCCCAATACTCCTCACCGGTGACCGGGCACTTGGCCCTATTGAACCATTTGGGCTTATATTCCTCGCCTTTGGTCTCTCTTTCTCTCCGCTTGGCGCGCTGCTTCTCCTCCACTCGATGTTTCTCCGTGGCGGCTAAATCATACTCACCCTCTTCCATCGCACGCTGATCGGGTCGAAGGCGCGTGTCGGTAGGTGGGAGACACTCCTTGAGCCCTTCGGGTAAAGCGTTCAAAGTGATAACGAAAGGCGTGAGGTTGAATGGAATCCCGCTCGGCCGAGTATGGCTTTGCCAGACCAGAAACGTTTTGGCCGATTCAGGATCCTGGCCGGAAACTGTCGCCTCGAACCCAGGGGTATGGCGCGCGTAGATCTTATCGTTCCATCGGCCGCCAATACTCCACTTGGGCGACCCATCCCGATCCACGACCTTGCCCGTCACCTGATATGCGGACGCAGCCTTCCAGCCCCTTGGTTTGAAATCCAAATAACAGATTTCGCCTGTGGTCCAGTTCTTGATTTCCATCAGGCCATAGTTGTCCACTGTGGGGCTACCGGTGATAATGCCAATGACGGAAGATGTGACCTTCTTCCAAGTATACAGCTCCTCCCCTCCCGATGCTGGCCGTAGCTTTAGGAACCATGTTCCTAAGAGGTTAATGTCGAACGACTTCCCGTAGAACTTGGACTTGAGAGCAGACTCGCCCTACGAATAATACGAGAAAAGAGGTCAGCGTCAATCACATATCCAGAGGGAAGCACGCATATAAGTCTTACATAGTAGTCCCACTTTGGCGACTCAGCCCAAGCAGCACCAATCGGGGGATGATGGCTAACTTGTTCGACAAAGAACCGATAGCCTTTGTCCGGCCGGACATATTCGAATGTCTCCCCGAGAAGAGGATTGAACGGTTTAGCAACACGACCAATCGTAGAAGCATATTCACTTGCAGCATACGCAGCGACATACACTAGACGCTCCATCGAATCTGGTCGGTCGGCCGCAACATCGAGTAGATCTGCGTATTCCAAGTCCTCGGCCACGCGTTGAAGCAGGGATGTAGGCTCATTGAAGGAGACGGGGAGAGTCATCTTCGTCATATCCTTTCCAATCATCGACTTCAAGATTCCCTAGAAACAAGCACATGTCAGTAGCTACATACGATCTCAACGGCCAAAAGGGGTGATAACATACCCAGAGTGAAATCTTCGGTCTATTGTCATAGTCCATCTTGAGTCTCTGCCGGATGGGCTCTTCATATCCTTTGAACGAAGGCACGATTTCAGATCTCTTCGCCGTTCGGAGCTCATTGGTCTCCTCCCGAGGCTTCTGTTCGTCGTCCTCCGAGCCAGCAAGTTTCTCCACCTCAATTTCTCCAGAATCAATGGCATCGAAGAACTCGTCTTCCTCCTCAGACTCCGAGTCATAGAGATTGCTGATATTGGACATAGCCGACTTCCTACGACGAAGGGTACCTCTAAGTTCTTGAACTTCGGATTCTGGTGAGACTTGTGCTGGTTTCGGCTCTTGGGTCTCGCGTTCGGCATCGGCAACTTCTTCACTGGCAACCTGCGCGCGCGACGGAGCTTTACTGACTGCACGGCTCGTGGCTGTTGACTCCAACGCCTCCTTCAACGCCCGCTTGGTACGCTTACGCTTTTCCTCGGACTCGCCCATTCGTGACTGGAGCTCCTCATGTTCCTGGGCGATCCTTGCCATGCTTTCCTCCCACATCTTGCGCAAGTATGCCTCCCTATTTAAGCGATACTGCCAATACGCATCTCGGTCCCGGGATATCTTCAGAAGGCTCTGCACTAAGCCTTGTAAACTACTCACAGCTGCCTCATAAGCAACTAAAGCCTGATCGACAGCTGGATCGGAAAGTGATGTGGTAGGATTCTTTGACTTTTCTGCTTGCAGCGAAGACGCGACATTGGCAAGGATGTCGAGCTGGAGTTTCGTTGACTCGGCAGTGATGTTCAAAGCATCTTTGTCCGTGGGCTGCATATCATGACTGGATGCATAATCACCTTCCTCTTCGTCATCCCCGTCAATATCTGGCGCCATGGTCACATGGCTCAGCACTCGATTGACTTCATTCGGTGCAGCGGCATGCTCCATTGACCCGTATAGGGAGCCTTCCTCGTCTTCGGGCGCGCTTCCTGCGGTCGTGTGGGACGCGTACGTGCTGAGCCGTGTGCCACTGCTACTTGGTACATTGATAGAAGGGGGCGCAAGGCTCTTCACATTGGATCTTGGAACAGCTGAACTTGGAGGGTCGGAATTGGTCTCGGACAGTCGGCCTTCCACTTGCTCAATCTTGGCCTGGCGAAGTACTTCTGCATGTTTCGATTGACGCCTCTCTTCCTCTTTTGCTTCATCCTTGGCCCATTGTATGGCATTGTTCAAGGTCCAGAACCAACGCTTTGCCTCGACAACGTGATTAGCTTTGAGATGATATTTAACGGATGACTTTCCGTGGATTTCGAAGCGGGTCTTGTCCTGGGCATCCATATTGAGCCTAGCAATTTTCATATTGATCGCTCCTCGGCAGGCGGAGCCCGCATCATCTGCAAGAAGAGCCCAGTCAGCTATGGCTAAGAAACATCTATCCAGACCGGAAAGCATCATACCTTGGTGTTTATAATAGCTCAGCACACCATCTTCTAGAACGAACCATCGCAATTTATAGCCACTTGTATAGTTGGTCCATTTCTTCAAATAACCCCTCATTTCACGAGCTTCCTTGCCAGCAAAAGGCGCCTCGCTTCCGCCTGAGCGGCCAGGCACACCTTGAGCTGCGCTGGTGCCGAGAATCGCTTTTTCTTGTATGCCACGTTGTGCAATGACTGCTGCTGGGGATTTCTTGACAATCGCACGGGTCTTGTCATCTTTAGTAACATCCTGAGGCAATTTTCCCTTCTTGTCACGACGGAAGGGATCCGCTCCATGCATCAATAGGATCTGAATAAGTTGTGTATCTTTTTTCCTTGCCCCTTCATGCAACAACGTGCCCCCAGACTGGGCAGTGGCAGGATCCGTTACCAGATCCAAACTATTGACATCGATGCTGCCCTCTACACGGGGCTCTTCGAGCACCTTCTCCAGTTTCTCGTATTCTCCTTGAGAGACGAGCGCTTGGATCTCTTGGGTCTTGACGTCAATGAACAGTGAGCGAGCTAGCTGAAGTTGCTGGAAGATTTCTGGGGTGCGCGCAATATCAAGAGCTGTCTGGCCGTTGTAATTGATGATCGAATCGTTAATAGAGGGTTGGTTTAGCAATTCGCGGATCACAGGACCTCGTCCAAGCTGAGCGGCCAAATGAAGAGGTGTATTGCCCTCCCGATCACGCGCGTTTATGTCAAGGTCCTCGCTGGCGGACAGCACGAATTCGACAACTTGCGGTTCAGCGCATTGAATCGCAAGGTGGAGGATAGTTGTACCAGAAAGGGCATTCGCTCCCTGCGGCTCCTTAGTCTCTCTAATAGCTTTCGAAATCGCATTCGTGTCTCCGCTCCGTAAGATCTCGAATAGGCGAAAAGTCCGGACTGACTGATCTAAAGACATGCTACTGGTCTCCGCATGTGATATGGAGGGTAGCTTCTCAATGTTATCACCGCTTCTGTGAGGGCCTGCGGGCTCCAGAGACGGTTCAGCAGACATGGGACGTAGGTTTGGCTCTTGGGGGCGTGTACTTCGGCGGCTGGAGCTTCGGGTAGCTGGAACACCAGATATGGATGGAGTACTATTGACAAGGGAAGACGTGGCGGATTCGGAAGAGCCACTATCGCGAACGACCGACTCTTCACCGGTATCCTTCGACCTATCACGGTGTAAAATGGCCAATGCCAGGGAACTTCGAGAGCGTTTATGTCTGCGACACAGTATGTTATGTTAGCGAGCGAAGCGCCCAATTTGTGGGGCAACCCCAGGTCTCTGATCGGGCCAAGAGAGCTCCCTATGTTCTGATCGAAGGTTGGGTTCAGAAACAACCCAGCAAAGGCTTATGAATCAACCCAGAATTCAGAGGTGAGATAGCTGAAGGGAAGATGGGGCATGGCTTGCGGTAATTCAACCACAAGGTCCTGGGGAACCGAAGCGGCAGAGAGAGTTTACTCACCCTTCGCCCCTTTCCGTCATCTCTCGCTGGCTTCCAACACTTGTTTAGACCCGGAACTGGCTGAGGGAGACCGGATGAATTATTATCGCAGGGTGCCAGGCAAGCTAACATGGAAGTCAGTGAAGATGATTTCTGGACTGATTGGCGTACAATTTTCGTGACTAGGCGCAAGGAATGACGGAGATGGTGACGATGTTCTTCTTCCCGCGCGTTGGCCAAGACGGATGGGTTTCACTACCTCCGGACGACTACGCGAGATGGACACAGCAGGCGGAAAGGGGCTCTCTGTAGTTACATTGCTCTCTAATAAAACAGTGACAGTAATCTCTGTGGACTTATATTGTACAAAAGGTGTGATCCCAACGGCTCGGTTCTAATGAAATGCATTAGATCAGTCACCTTGTCTCTCCACTAACCAATACAATGACGCTGCCGAGCTGGCGTTTCAAATCTTCCTTGTCGACATCATGGGTATCCTCAACCTCTCCCCACATATCAGTCTGCCACCTGACTTCCAGACTGGATGCTTCCGCTGCTTCCTCAATGCCGAACCTCTCTCGCCCCGGTCGTTGCACCTCTCGGAACGTCTCACTCCATTCAGCGACCAGACGGACTGCAATCAACAAGCTCTTTGCGGCCAGCACTCCTCTCTCCAGTCCCGCCAGATCGTAAGCCTGCAGACCAGATATCCACTGCAGAATGATGTCTTTTGTAGCCTGAGGCTGAGAAGCAGGTAGTATGCTATCGGTGTCAAGAATGGGCTGAATGTCCACGCCGGGCCATACTTTGGTGCTCAAGAAGGCAATTGTATCTTTAGCGACCCGGATTTGGGCCTCTCGGAGACTTTCCGGTTTCTTCCCATCGGCATCCACTTCATCAGCAGCGTAAACATTCTGCTCCGGCACCCAACACAACAAGGTGTCTGTTTCCAAATACCGCATCGCCGTCTTCACTATTTGATCTCTCGTAGTAGTTTCGCCTCGAGCATCTTCTGCAGCAATATCCGCTGCTCGAGCGGTCAGAGAAGTTAATGGGATAAGGTGGTTCTTTAGCGCTTGCTGGGCAGTGGTCATGACATCCCATTCCAGCGCGATCGCATGTGCAAGATAAGGCTTCGTTGACGGTATGGATAATACGTCTTTGGAAGGTGTCCGAATAGGGCGTGTGTCTAGCAAAACCTGATAATCCCCATCTAAGAAACAAAACATGTTAACGCAAGTGTCCCGTGTAGACTGATCGCAAGAGAACAAGTGCGTACCTGACTTCCGCTTAACATCAACATTCTTCCAGAAACGCTTCTTAAGCACAGATGATTTCCCTGGCAGCGGACTTTTCTCGCTTTTCTGATGCGAAGACGCATCTTTCTGTAGTAGCTCTGCATTGGCAGGTGTAGGTGAAGGGGCCTTAGGTGGCGGGCCGTGAGTAGTAATGGGATGAGCAATGGCAGACTTCAATGCTGAGGCACTGATAGAACGTGCGACAACATGTTGACTCTGCACACCTCTGAATACTGCCTGCCGCGAAATAGCCGCAACAGCCCGATGAAACGCGGGCATCGCCTCTCAGTCAAATGAGCGAGCGATTGCAAAGGAGATGGTTCGACGATTATATGAGAAATCGGGCGCGGCTCTTCCTGGAGTTCTACAAATCCTTCAACCGGATTGCTGCGTCTTTTCTCGTGTGCAGCGGGCAAATTGGGAAATCGGAGGTTGAGCTTGTTCCTAAGCCGTACTGCGGAGAACTAAGTAGTAAAACCACACTACTAAGCCAGTCTCCGATTGCAACGCCACATGCGCCACAGTTCACGCCACATACAATATTTGCTGGTCGCTGCATCGAAGCAACGATAGATGATGAAGACAGCAGAATAGAGGTGGTTCTGCTGTCCACCTGCTTCTTACAAGGGCAAACAAAGGTAGTTATGGTACGGAGGGAGTGAAAAGAGAGATAATACATATGAGTATCAGTTGCAGCACTATGTGCGACGATGCCTGGCGACGCTTATCTACAAGCGAAATTTCCGGAATGGCGATACATCGCATCGCACCCTTTTCATAAGCACAGCATGTTCCAAATTGATTCTCTTGATGGCATATTGAGCATTAGGTATTATGCATAGAGTGTACGAAGGAGAATAGACCCAAATCGATAATGAAAATGGAACTCTCCGGCAAATTTTCCCACATGCAGAGTCTAGCGGTAGGAAAAGCAAAGATGATGAAAAGGGAAGGAAAACCTGAACATACAGGCGACAGTGAGGGAAACAGCACATTAATTAGCAATGCCAATTTGGATAAAAGAAGAATCCGCCCACGCTTTTATAATTTACAGAACCCAGAATCCTTGAAATAACTTGTGTGTTCAGGAGTGGTAAGGTCGGGTCGACGAGTGTCAGGTACTGGTGTTGCGGACCCAAACGACAACCACCAATCAACCAGCGAGAAAAGGACAGATACAGGGGATATGTTAGAAAGAGAAGTCAATCTGAGCGTAGAAAAGATGTTTTTTTTGAACGGGACCGTGCGTGCAACAGGATCGGTCCACAAAACCTCCGGGAAAGAGTCAAGTGGAAAGATAAGAATATTTGTGCAAAGAGAAGTTATACATCAACTGAAGGCCATGGGAACCCTAATCTCATGGCTCCCAATTTAGCGTCATCAAGGCATTTCGTCGTAATTGTGTATCGTGCAACCGAGAGTTTAGAGCGATTGCTGGAAGGTCGCTGGGATATCATAGGCGAGCTTCAGTAACCAGCAGGGCAAGCACGCCTGGAGTGCGAGCAGTCGCTAGCCACGGACACGATATAAGGTTGGCTCAAGGTAAAAGCAAAGGCATTTAGTAATTTAACACACGTCCACACATCGCGCATGTGGGCTTCATTGAGTTATGTAACTCGGGTAATAAGGCCGTTTCATACGATCCGTGTCCGTTCGCTTCTTCATCCGCTCCGCGTCATAATCATCGGCACCGTCTCTGCTACCCCATGTGGTCTGAAAAAAAAAAAAAAGGTTTAGTTAGCAAATCTGAGTCGAATAGCAGGGAGTAGTCTTCGTTCAATAGAGGCCAGATGTTGGGTGAGAAAGTGAAGAATCAGAGGTCAGACAATAAGACGGAACAAGTAACAGCCACCGCACTAGGTTGTTCGGACAGCGAAGCACAGATGATAAGAAAAGGGAAATGAGACCAATAATGAGGAGAGAAACCCGAAAGAAAAAGCGACAAGCAAGCTAAGACAAAAGTAGAAGGCCAGAGGGCAAAAAGAAACGCAAGTAAAAAATAAAACGATGCAGAGGCAAAAGCGGGTTACCAAGACGGGGAAGGCCGTGGGTGGATACAGAAAGGGCGAGAATGAGGTGAGGCCCATGGCCAATGCAATTGCATTATGGGAGGGGTTGGGTGTCGAGCACGGAAGCAGGCCAAGGGCTAGAGCCCACTTCCATGCTACAAGCGTCGCCCAAAGATACTAGGCTGCACTTGTACATGCACCCTCTGTAGAAACGAAACAACGGACCAGAACTTATGTTGTGTTGGGGTGCTGCAACTTACCACGTTCAGAGTTAGCACGGCGTATATTTTAATAGCCCCGTGAAAATAGCCGAAGAGAATGGACACCGGCAAAAGGATAACATCAACCGGGTAACGGATGTAATGTCCGAGAAGTTTGATGAACTTGCTTATAAACATCCACAGTCCGAGAGCTTGCATAGCTAGCGCGTGCGTATCATTGTCCCAAGAAACCGTAGCCTTGTGACAAAGTATAAGGAGCAATAAATCGCCGAGGAGAGCTGGCGGCGAAAGCGTCGTCAAGTGGACAGCGTATGCGCTCCAAGGCTGGCGACTAGTATTACAGTAAACCAAACGTTAGCGTGCGGATCAGACAGACATTTGCATTAAGTGGCCAAACAAAAATTTTCCACAGTCGGTTACCAAGACTAAGAACGATCCAGCCTTCCAAGACCAGTTCCTTAAGTCTGTCGTAGTATCCGGGAAATTATAATCAGAATGAAGGGAAATCTTGCATTCAACGGCATCATTGACTAATGATGCAGGAAGCGAGTAGGGTCCGTGAATGAAAGGCAAATTCATAACAGGACATAGACATCCGTCCCGGTGTGCACTGTACGCACACCCGCCAGACAAGTTAAAAAGGGTAAACTTACTACCAGATGTGTTTTTCATGGAACATGCTTGTAAGGTTGCTCCTCCAGTTGCTTCGGGACCAGCGCGCGCACTGTTTGAGAAACTTGGGGTTGTCTTCCAGAGTTGTCAGGACCTCCGCTTCAGGATGATATTGCATGAAAGTCTCCCAGCCATGTGACACCATCCAGCGGGTAATGAAATTGTCGTCGTCTGCGTTCAATTGGTACTTCCCAAACCACCATTCCTCGTTCGTGAATCCATACGTGAAGCCTTCATTCTGAAGGATATCTGTTCTGTATGCGACTGTCCGGCCTGACATGCAGGGAAGCCCACCGTCAATATGCGTTGTTGCCGCGCAATCGAAGTTTCTTCGTTCCAAGTAAAGAGCGCCCAGAAATCCCCATATGCGTTGAGAAAATGATGGCGAAACAGCCCGTCGTAGACGTTGGCAAGTTACCACACCACCGAATCGCTCATCCTTCTCAAAAGGTGCTAGCATCCAAGGGAGGACTGTGCGTGGCCAGCTCACGTCATCATCTGCGAATACCGTGATAGTAGTCCGGACTTCCGGGATCGCTCTAGTCATTTGTCGACGCTTGTTGGGGTGGGTAACGGTGAACAAGCGGATTCTTGACTTCGAAGCGGGCATCAAGCTCAGCATATTCTCGGCCTTTTGTCGATTCGCTTCAATGGTGACCAGAAGAAGTTCATAAGGCTGGGTGTCGAGAATCGTTCTTATGGTTTCCACGAGTTCATCACCACACCCCTCTAACGTTGGTAAAATAACCGTTACATCTTGGGCAGTTAACTTCGGATTTTCCGGCGGAGGAATTGGTTTGAACGTCCAGAAAGAAAAGAGATTCACAACAAGGCGGAAGTAGCGATATAAACTATGTATCAGGAAAGTCAGCCAGAGAACCTTGATACGATCAGATGTCCAACCACTGGCGATACATCAAAAGTAAGCTCCAGGCCAGAGTTCAGGTCAATACTAACAAGAGGGCAATAAATGCTCGCAAGAATGGAAACTCCATGATTGAAACAATCTGATCAGGCCTAGGATTACTCTCCTCAAGCCAATTGATTGTTTCAGTCGCTATAAACTTCACTCCAAGTGCGAGTTTCGCCCCCGATCTCTCGCCAATGCGGAATCAAACTACAGAAACCGGGACTGACACTGCGCACTGTGCTCGCAGGGGGCGCAGCGCTATCGGGGGTGAAGAAAATAACGAAAGTGCTGGGCACCGCTCTGGCAATATAGTATAGAAGTTCTGTTGTTACTTGGCAAATTTGGGCAGAGGAGAGACAGAAAGAATATGATTATATGGTCTCCGAGTAGTATGAACGGGATAGGAGGACGGAGGCAGAGGAAAAGAGAGAGAAAGAAAGAGGAAAACAAGATAAACGAATGTCTGGGAAGAATGATTGCCCAAGACCTCGTCAGGAAGTTCTGAGAAACAAAAAGACCAGCTCTAAGGTCAATTGGCTTCACAGAAGATGGGAATACCTATGGGCGGACATGCAACATTGGGGATTCTTATTTGTTGCAGATGGAGTCGATGGCACGGAATGGCAGGGAAGGCACATGTTCAAGTCCGGCATCCAGACAATGGGTTGAGCCAATCCCTAGAGAGAAATATAAATAAGTTACTTGTGGGCTCCAGTTCCTTTGTCATTTTGAGTGTCATGCAGGTGTATTTTTGCCTCGTGCGTCAGAGACCCTGGATCTAGATGGACTGATGGAGGATAATGCGGGTGGAGAAAGGATTGGCGGCGGTCCATGCAGCTACTGTGCAGTCCACTGCAGTGACATGGGCCAGAGAGGTGGAGACTGTTAATGGTGTGTGGGTGTGTTTTCTAAAGCTAAAGTAGGAGCTAAGAGCACGTTAGTGGGCGTCTCCGAAATTCGCAGTGGTTAACTGTGTTGGGGCCTTTTGGGGGTGTAGTATTCCGTACTAACCGGTCCGTCCTAGTACCTCCTTAGCACTATCTAGTCCACTCTGTGCTGCGCATCCTGCCCGGGACGCCGTAGACTTCCTAAACACGAGAGTCATTATTATGGAATAGGCCCAGTATCTCCTCGTACTAGCCACCTCTCTCTAAGGTACTTTTACCAGAGCGAGGCCTGAGTAGAGAGGTGCCTCCCTCCTTCCCACCGTCCATGGTCATACACACCCCCTCCTCCCCTGCAACAGGATGATACATTCTCCATTTTCGCTTTCTGGAGTTACTTCCCCTCTTTTCTTCTTCCTTGATATTTTTTTTTCCTTGTTCTATTCTGCTGTTTTGATTATTATTTTTTCTTTTCTTTTCTTTTCCGCCTCTTTCTTTCCCCAGTCAAGGTGGATCAAATAGTAGGAAAGGGGCAAAAGTATACAGTCATACGCAAGGAACGCCAGAATGAATAAACAGATTAATAATACAACAGTAATGAAAATAAAAACAAAAATAACAAAAATGTCTATAACAATAATAGTAAATTCAAAGGGAGGGCACGAAAAAAAATGAAGAAAAGAAAAAAGGATTGGATTAAACCTAACATAAAATCATCGGTGGCTCATTCATCATTCCCGATGGGCAAGTGACGCCGATGAGCCGACAGACTAAATCACCTAGATAATACTTGGTAAGAGGTGGTGGGGGGCCAGAGTTCGTTTGTCGGCTGTATGATCAACCAACAAGAAAAAGAAAGGGAAAAAAAAAAATGAAAAGAAAAGAAAAAGAAACTCCCCTGTTTATTTTCCCATGCGTATTTTAACGTCTTTGTGAAGAGAGATAACATGCTCCCACTATTGAAGCATTACCAATAAATTCAACTTAACATGTCAAGCTTGCCATTATCATGATTCCCCAGAATTCTCAAAGGAGAAGAATGGCCACTACAAGTGAAGTCACAGCTGTTCCATACTACATGATAGTGACGACATATAATCCTTTCGAATTATCAACTGAGAAGTCTGATCCTGTAACAACATACAACTTCTAATTCTATCCAGGTGCAGATTGCTGCTGCATACTACCTAGTGGCATTGGTGAGAACTAAAATAGCCAACATAGCAGACCATCGGCCTAGACAAGAAGCTCCTCCGATCGGGAGGAAAACGAATCGGGGGGGAGTGGTAAAGGGAAATAAATGAAATAGTTGTCAGAAAGGAGAACAAACCTTTCCAGTGGTCGGAAGTTATGTGAAAATAATCGAGGTTACTAGTTCACATGCTACCATCCAACCCTCATAATTCTCTTCATATTCTGTTGATGGCGTAGGGATAGTGATTTTCGCAATTGAAGAAAAGAAAATGCGTTTGTTTTTGTTTTTCTTTCTTTTCCTTTTTTTTTCCCCCCTCTTTGATAATTTCTTTTTGGCCCGTTCCGATCAGCACAGCTCTTTGAGCCTCTCAAGCCCATAATAAACTTGTAAAAATGAAAGTCAGCCGGACAAAGTTATGTTATGGTAGACTAAGCGATGACACTGCGACCATGGAAATTAAAAGGAGAGAAAAATAAGCAACTCCAAAGTTCTTCGGGAATTTGAGATAAGGTCCCTGGGAAAGAAAATGACCCGAAGACCGAGTGACCATTTCTCACCACATTCCAGATGTGGATTTCTTTATCATCTCGTACTTAGCGTCTGTAGATGGTAGTGGTAGCTTTCAGCCAGTAATTACAGAATAAGCACAGGATCTCGCGTTTTGTAATCCCACTTTTTGCAAAAGGCGAACTATCTCAGAAATGAAGAGACGGTAAGAGCTATGTAACAAAATACACCGAACGGGACTGCGTGCCTCGCTAAGCAATTCCAGCTACTGCGTGCGCACTAGGCTACAATTTTGCCAAAAGGTTGTGACACACGCACACCACCCCCATGTACCCTCCAATATCGAGGGCAGGTGAAGGATGGGTCTCTGGTTCGTTCCAGAGAGAAACCGATTTTTGCCCAAAAATCCATTCCATGGTGAAGTTCTACTTGAAATTGGATTTTGTATACATGGGATAAGGGTCATTTTAAAAGAGCAGAGAGCGAAGAGCAAGCCCCCCTAACATACCACTGACAGTGTGCTGGGGAACTTACGCACAATACAGAATCGGTAGTAGCTATGGCCTCATTGGCCTCAAACCAAAAACGTTCAGGTTAACGGTGATCCTAGCGGCGATCTCCCAACCCCGTCTCATTTAAGCCCACTACCTGCACTCGCTGCCTCCCACAACCAGTCGCCCGCTAATTAAGAATGGATCACGAAGCTTGGGTGGGGTTTAACAGCAACAAATGCTACCATAGGCTGGAAGTAATACGAAGTCGAGACCATTCCCCAGACAGTGACACACCATTGTCTCTCAGCTAGTAATGTCATGACCCATAGCCTGGTCGGCTCCGAGAACATGCATTTATCAGCTGAAAGTTAATCCGAGACAGAGGTCTCTGGCATACCAAATCAGAACATGAATATCAACTCTGAGCCATAATGATATTCTTGAGTAGCTGGAATTTGACTGTACGCTGTAAGGTATATCGTAGACAACTTCCCATGAGTCACAGTCCCGAGCAGTCATGTGCTTCGGAAGATCACATTGACATAGCTATTCACTTTCACGGAGCACAGCTCCTGCACATGTGCTCCTGTAGAGGAATGTTGGTGTTGCCTCACAATTTTAACTCGCGAAGTCACTGGGGCCGCTTGACCAAAGCGGAATTTTAATGGGCTTCTTCGGCCAACCGTCCCTCCCCACCGGTAGACACGGAGTTCCATATGCAGCTTGTGGCTTGCTTAGTAGATCTCAGATATCAATGGGGGCTATGCGTCTCGCTTGCTAACGATCGACTACTATCTCGTCATCAACCAATTCCGGAGGAATAGCCATGATTGGTATTCGATTGGCCTTAGCAGCGATCGTGGGTCTATCATTTGGACAACTATGTGTGAATCCTACAAGTAGCTCTTCACTTACGTACATGGACAAGAGTAGCCTACTCGGATAGCCCAGGCGTAACCAATAAGTACTACTTTAGCAGTGGTATGGACAAAATCAGGGCATGGAGAACCAAAGTGTGTAGTAGTTAGTAGTAGTAAGTACTTAGTATTGTGTGGCTCTCGGGATTCTCAACCAATCATCCATGGGACCGCTGTAATCTCTTCGAGAGCATGGATAGAGACAATAACTCCACACACACGATTAGCATCGCTAGTAACAATGAACGTGCGGCCCGAGCTCTATTTCCCAATAAAGACTTGACTCGCATGGTAATATGTCAATGTTATCTTGGCATCGAGGACGCGTGCTGATGGAACCACGGCCGGCCATCATACGGGCTGCTCCTTTGTAGTTATTGGTACAGATAACCCACCAGCCTTAGTGGCTGCAGATGATAATCAACCCTCCTGCAAGTCACCTTAAACGGCTATGTGCCCCAAGGCTAGGCCGGGGCTCCTCCACTCAAGCAGTCCTACACCCTACCGTCCGGACTAGATCGAGGTTCGGGATTTTAAGCTAAATGATCACCTAACTAGCAATAAGCAGCTAGCAGGAGATGGTGAACACACTCTACATGATGTAGTATGTCTACGTATATACAGTACCATAGAAAAAGACTCACAGTTTTGGAATTTTTTCTTCCGTAAAGAACCTAACATCAACCTAAAGACAACAAGAATATCTGGATGCAGTTGCCTAAGGGATTCAATTAGGGATCTTTCCTTACTAGTTCGGGAACATGATGTTCATTTGTTCCAATATAACGATTTAAATTGATGGGCAATCTACATGTTGTAGCTTGACAAGGGTTCATATTAAACACTATCGGTCCCCATGCTTTATATGGAATTGCTCCGTCTCGATCCGTTAGTCATAGGCTAGTATAGACTATAAACAAGGCGACGTTGCATTGCTTTGACGTTCTCCTATTTGTATTCCGTCTTCCTCCGCGGCCCTAGTACCAAGTGCGTATAGTATATTCTAGGCCTCTCCGCAGAGTATAAGGGCGTTCTTCAAAATGTACATTCGCGTGGTTACTGCAGTTGGAATATAATTTAGCTCCTGGAAATAGCAGCCACACACATGCACAACAGTCTTCTAGGTAACTGAAACAGACGCGTACCTATCTCGGCTGCACGGACATTACTTGCCTCCGCCGAGCTCCCCACCCGCACCCGAGAATGACCGAGGATCCATTCAAACGCGTTCGGAGCAGAACTGCTACTGTGTAGTTAAGTGCTAAGATAGTCCGGGATTTTAGCGCTGGCTGTCTTGTCTGGTTTTATAGGTAGTTCTATTCCTTTTTTGCGTGCCCCATACCAAGAGAGTACTGAACTGAGGAAGGTGAACCTATAGTAATCCATGTCTTCGTATAATTGTTGGCAGTTTCATGAGAGCAGAGCGTATAACCCGCCGGTCGGCCAAATATCCCTGTGTCCTCCGACAACTTGAGGGAGAGAGGAAAGTTTGCAAGTGTTAAAAGAAAGCCACAGGATAGCCCGGAAGAATATCATACCATTAATTTGAGCTACCGGTAAAGCCCCACAATATAAACGAGTTAGTACTAGATAAGTGCCACTGCATAATAGAGCGCGCGTATTAGCCGTACCCATAACCCCCAGGCTGAATTCTACGACTTCATGCGTAGCTTCAAAAGGACATATTACCGATCACCCCTGAATAGGATAGGGGGGGGGAGGGGGTGTGGGTGTGGGTGAGCAACAAGAGCAGCGAATACCAGTAATTCTTCCCGTGTACAGCGAGGAGCTAGGTGCTCCACGAAATCGACGCACTGTTCAGCCGACGCTCCATATCGAAGTCTGGAACCGTCGACGGCAAGACTCTCCATTGATATCAACCTTGTAAGATGACTTACTCTCTCTTACCGTAATAGACTACTTTGTACTCACTTGGGCATATCCCGTTCCCATCAGAGACTCGGAAATGTCATGCAGCTCATGCCGTCAATCGGAATGTCAGCCGCGTGTGTAACTCTTCCAAATACCATGTTCCTTTAAAAATCAGTCTTAAAGGCCAAACAAAACTTACTAAAGGGCTTGCTCCCATTCTAATCCGATAAAAAAGTATGTAACAAGAACAATTCAGATACTGAGCAAGCACCACGGTTCGTTCTGCACAAGCATGAATACAAAGGCAACAGGGAAATCAATGGGGATTCAGACTGGGTCTAATTAGTCTACTACTAGTCATCAATACTACCTACTATGTATGGGCTTGTAGTAATTATTACTACTTATTACGGCGCAAGTTGGCATGAAGACCGAGGAGGCAGAGTCTCCACTCCGAGCTCCTTAGGCTGACTCTCATAGAGAATTAGTCGCAGGAGGTAGCGGACTGTGCACAAGTTAGCGCGGGCTGTTTCCTCTTGTACTGGTGGGAACTGTTCCATACCGTCCGTAGACTGGGGCGCCTCGGCATGGGGGCAAATCTCCGCTGCAGCGTTGTGGTTCGCTTACCCGGACAGCAGGCAACTTACTTACCTTGCTAATGAGCTGTGCCGCTCCCGCTAGTTAGTCTAGTAGTAGTCTACGTGTTTGGCGGCGACGGGCGACACACTGGGCTGAGAATGTCCTGTGCTTCCCAAGACACAGCCCGCCCGCGCTTTTCACCATTTGTAAACACTGCCCCCAGTCAGGATGGATTTCCGAGGGATCAGACGACGCAGGAGACTCCGGCTTTCTAAAGATAGCAAGCTATAGAGGAGAGTGGTGTTAAATAGTAGAGTAGTGATAGTCGTCGTCGTCGTCTCGTCGTAGTAGTAGTAGAAGGGGATTAGTGGAAGTCCGGGATTCGTTTATTGTAAGGTGTATTGCACCCATTTGATAGTATACTTACTATTTATTAACATTGTTATCATTTCCCGCCCTTGCCCTCCCCGGACCTCACGGTAGAACCCTCATTCCCCCCTTCCACAAACCTCCTCGGGTGATATTGTTTGGTAGACTACTGATACTAGTACGAAGTACTCCAAACTCCTCTAGTCTAGTCGCATCTTCTGGCAGGACGGACTGCCTAGGTAGGTAGGAGTGGCGGTTATTTGTGGAACGCTGCCGTGCTATCATAGGCTGGACGCGGGAGTCGAAGACCTCTCTCTTGGTGGCCCGTGTGAGGTTCGGCTGCGGGCCTGACGCTCGGCCAGGCCATCCTGCTTACCACGGAAAAGGCGTTAGCAACGTTGACTACTGCACCACTTCTGCAGCTAATCGAGTCAATCCAGCAGCTAAAACTAGGCATGAGCTAGATTTGCACTGGGCTAACCTCGTTTAAGTGACTTCTATGCCGGTTGTGCGAATACTACTACCGGAATAGTCATTCGGCTTGTTTGGCTTTGGTCAAGCCTCCAGGAGACTCAGAAGAAATGCTCTGCGTGGCTTTCACGGGGTGCAGAACGGAGTTCCCGGAAGGAGTCCGAACTCATGAAGGTATTATTTGGGATTGTTATCATTACAGCCTCTATTGTAATGATTATTCTTATGACTATGGTTATTGCCACTACATAGGCTGAGTATCACAACCCGTTGATGCTTCTCCTGCACAGCCGTTGGGATTAATTCTGGGCAATAGTAATATCAACGATTGAACTATGGTTGTTTGAGTCTGTGGTTGGTTCTGTGCAAGCCAGCTCTTGGTCTCTTGACATGCAAGCAACCCTATGCAGAAATCCCCTGCAACATCTGTAAGATCGCTAGAAACGCCACGAGCTGCAGCAATGCCTGTATACTACCCTTAAAATTATAAAAGTGCTTTGAATGGGGTTGGTCAGTTCACTGGATGGGGACTGTGCTACACGAATAATTATCAGCTTCCTGTCCTACATGACCTTGCCTACTGGCACATACTGACCGTTTCCCAACACACACACACTCACTCACACACACACACACACACACACACACACACACACACACACACACACACACACACACACTCTCTCTCTCTCTCTCTCTCTCTCTCTCTCTCTCTCTCTGTGAAAGCATATGATAACGAAGTCTCCCCCACCTCCGAAACGGGCGGTCTTACCCTATGGCACAAAAGAGGCTAGCATATGCATCATGAGGTCAGGGAATTGCTATGCCTTGCATATCATTGTCTAATGCAGTCATGGTTTTGAGCGAACATCTTCACCCCTGCTCTATCCTAGGTAGTTCGGAAATGGGTTTCAATACCCGCTAGATACTTGCATATAGTGGCACTACTTTTCAGGTTTATGATGTCAACTCCCCTCCTCTCCGTCACTCCTGCTCAAGCAAGGCAAGCCTCCTCAGCAATCAATAGCATAACTTGAGGCTCCCTTGTTCTGGACCAGGCCAATTGGTAACATAAGCATCCCGGGCAATGACGGGAATGCAGACTATGCTCCCCCCCCGCTACACTAATGTGTGTGTTTCAACAGGGTACATCCTCTCCCCCCTCTCCCCCAAGCCATTTCTGCAAGTAACTTTCTAGAACATCTCCAGTGCACCAAGTGTGTTCTATCATGCGTGCAGCCCAGTAGCTTGTATTACAACCGGCAAGGATGTTTACGGCGATCTTTTCCATTTGTAAAGTGGCTTTGTCTGGGATTTTCGCTTCTATATCATCAATCGTCTTCTGTGCCTTAAAAATTATCAGTTATTCGTTTCCTACCTGTAATTCAATCAGACTTCTAGCAAAGGTGGCAAGGCAATCAATATGATCGAACACGATGCGGTATTAGCTATACGTTCACCTACTGTGTCAAACGGTCTTTAAGGGAACAACCTTCGCTTACTCTTCCAAGATGGACATTGCTAACGCTCCGCCAACGTTCACTAAGGCAGATTTAGATGGATTTGCTTGCGTCTCCAGAACAATGTAAGGTACAGAATGGCGACAATTAGGGGTCCTCTCGAGGAGTCCATAACCAATCTGCAGGTTTAAAGAAAACCTCGAAGTCCACACCTCCGAACAGTCCGAGGGCACCATACAGATCGAAATCTCCTCCTAGACCTTCTACCCCCCCAGAATCTTCATCCAACTCCTCGTAAAGGTTCCAACCCCCTACTTTCTGACCGTCACGAGTAAAGAAGATATCGACATTGACCTTTGGGTCTATACCCGCCGAAACTGAGGTGGCCATGGTGGGGAAGTGAAATGTTATCCCCAAGCCAACTGTCTCTCCTACCTTGAACTTGCTCGTGAAGCCCTTCCCACCCCACGAATCGTTCACAAAGCGGCAACCATCATCAGAGAATACACCGAGGCTACCCCTTTCCCATCCCGGACATCTCCAGTTGGGGTACGGTTGTGCCACAAATCCGATAGAGAACCCGCTGGCGTCGGCAGACTGCCCTCGCGGGCCTACGCGGAGGCCAAGCAGTCTTACTTCAAAGTAAATAGTTTTACTCTTTTCTGTAAGCAAAGGGGAATCCTTCATGGAGAAGTAAAGGGGCAGATTTGTGGTTAAAAGACAATCGACATTCCCATCTCTTGTGGACCCTTTCCAGTGCCCCTGATTGACAATGGACAGCTTCCCATTGAACTTTGGTGACTCTGCAGGGCTCAAATTGTATTCCTGAGCAGATCTGTACAGAGCATCAGATGGCTCGATGGGAACCTTTAGGGGAAGCTTATCACAAAATTCGTGAGCACGCTCTGCATCGTCGCAGGAGGCATTTCCTGTACTAGAGGAAAAAAACCCAGCTATCGGTGGCGGTGGAAGAGTTGCTGTATCTGGCACAGTCTCCTGCCAGTTGTGATAAAGTAAGGGCCCCTGATTTCTGATTCCAGTAGATGTGGAAGCGCAATATGGTGGGGGTGAGGAAATGGGCATCGTATACTCAAATTGTGCTTTTGGTGTTGTGGCTTCAGACGGGTCCGCCATTGCAACCGAAAAATATGACTCAAACCGGTATAGACAGGAAGATTTGGCCTTAATGATCGCGTTTGAGGTTCATATAACGACCCTGTTAAGATTATATCGTAAGTTGGAGTTACAAATGTCGGTATGATAGCAGGCGGGATGCTCTAATGGGAGGGTAGCCGCTCTGCAGTGTGTCGCGGGTAGCTATGCCGACTTGTGGCCAGAAAGCAAAAATAAGGCAGGGAGGCAGAATGAATGTACAAAATTAGTGCTCACAAAGAGTAGACATGTATTAGTATCTATTTAGCTCATACATGAAACATGATCATACATCAACTGGCTACATCGTCTTTCCTAAGGAATGGTAGTTACTGTAAGTATATTATTCTAGTTAGTTGGCCATGCATAACTAACAAACATTACCGCTTATGTGATTGTTGGACCCCTTCCCGTTAGTTACTAGTACCTTAGAAAGTTAAGTTGACCAGTAGATAAAAAACCCCGTGGAGCCAGCCACATTGGGACTGCGGGGACGGGTTTGTTGTAGGTGAAGGGAGACGCTCAGTATATCGAAATCGATACAAGAGAAGGACGATAAGTGGGAAAAGTGAGGAGGAATCTTTCTCGGATTATGATCGATAACTAATTAGGACTGCTGTTTCAGATGCACTTTCGATGCAAGGTCCAGAAGAGGCATAGGGTCGACAATGCCCTACCCCCACCGTGCCTGACTGCAGTACCAGCTGAGGTTTGAGTAGACCTAGTAAGCTCGTTTAATTTCTGATCGCCTTGCGCCTAAGTACTCTTGCTTACTGCCCGGCCAGTGTCCAGTTGATTGTGCGACCGTCACCCTTCACTTTTCCTGGGAGCTGACCCTGCTTGGGCGATGGCCCCTTGCCGACTTACCTGTTTGCTTGGTCTGTGCAATGATCTGTTTACGATTTCCTGCACATGCTCATTTCTTGAAGTCTTGACTTAGTCTCTGGTAGAGCTGCTTAGACGCATAAAGATGTGCTTTAGGGTGCTCGAGCGGTCCTGAATCTCATCCAACCATATTGCTGGCTGCCATTTAGTCGCTGTTGTTACACAACACATATACACACCACGTACATACGCTTGAATCTGCGGTCATCCTTTTCCGCTCCAGGCCAATCCTAGTTTACCATCAACTATCTCCCAAGTCACAGTCGGTCACTCGTGATGCTCTACCTCTACGGGCAATGAGAATTGGCGTGAACCTCCCCGCGAGAGACACTTGGTTACAGTCAAGATGAACGGCAGTGAACAAGGACATACCAGAAGACAGCGTAGGTCTTCTCTCTCACAGCAGCTACAGCGGGTCTTCCACCTGGATAAGCATGTGAATGTAAGTTTTCTCTTTTGTCATCGGCCCAGCAAACAGCCAACACGTCAGTTTCCTTCTATCTACCTTAACTCCCTGCCTCCCTGGGATAAGATGTGCTTGTTGTTAATATCTCAAAGAAAGAAACGTGCAGGCGATCGTCAGGTTCGCTAGAGACCCGAACCATAAAAACCCATAGGCAAGAACGAGAGGGGAAACAACAGACAGACGAGGTTTGCCTTGGCGGGTGTTCAAGTCGATCCACATCATTGATACAAAAAAACGAGGATGTCAGCCCACGTACAGCCCAAGGTCCAACTTTTTCGGTTTTCGGTGATAATGAGCTCGTGAAGTCATCGGCACACTCTATCAGTCAGGGGACATTGCAACTGTCCGACTCATCTTCCCTTTTGGATATGCCTTCTGGCAAGCACGGATCATTCAACTCCGCTACTTCGATCAACAAGGCGACGGACAAGAATGAAAGAAGGGCTACAAGGCGCCTAGAAGCTGAACGGTTGGAGCTTGAGAAGAGAATCCTTAAACTTGAAAAGAGCGAGCAAGGCCACGGGGTAAGCCTACAGCAGAAAGAAACCCGGCGCCTTACCAAAAAACAACCTATAAGAAGCTCAAGCAGGGCATCGAGTGTGAGTGGGGATGAGTCTCGTCCATCACGCCGACTCTCTTCTCTCTTCTCAAGTTCAAGGCGAAACTCCCGGTCACGTTCGAATTCCCTAAGTAGAAGTGACGGAGACTATCCAACTCACCTGCCAGCTGACGCCGAAGAATCACAATCAGGACTGGACTCGGGACCGCACGCAACTCGACCTCACATTGCTGTGACGATGCCTAATCGCTTCGGCGCTGTGATATCCAAAGAGCTCGCCATAAACAATGCGCTGACCCCATACCAACCTGAGCCCGTGCCCATTCAGGAGCTAATGCCGGGAAATCCTACCAGTATAGAACCCAAGACAAATGATTCTACCGGGCCTCATCCTCGCAACATTGAAAACAATTCGTCACACGAACAAGGCCCTGAACAGGTTCATCTCGTCACCATCGACAGTAACGCCCGTAGGGTAGAATCAAGAGCCCCTAGTCCTCCTGTCTCTGCAGACCTGGACCGCTTGTCCTTCGCAGCAACGCTCAACCTTAAAAATAGGGAGTCTGGCACCGTGAAATTATCTGGACATCGTCGGTCATTGAGGGTGTCTTCCCCGGAACTGACGAATAACCGGGGAAAACATACCCGCGGTAGCCACAAAAGCACTCGGAGAGCACAGGCGGCAGCTGATGCTGGAAAGTCTTTGAAATCCTCACCAGGACCGTCATCAACTAACTTACAAGCCAAGCCGTTGAGGACTGCACCAAGCAGAACTTCTACGGACCGCTATCCTCAGAGACAGTATAAGAGCTATGTATCGTCACCGCTTGCAGTGGCCTCAACTGTGGCCAGTAGATCCAACTTGTCCTCAAATGCTATGGATTCTTCAGACACAAGAGCTTTGCAACCTTCCATCGAAGATGATCAAACCCCCATGGATTCTGTCAAGAAGGTTATAGATCCCACGTATAAGCAGACACATTCACATGTTACACGGCATTTAGTTGGGAGAGACGGTAATGAAGGCGAAGGAGACCATGCACGGCCTCATAGTGTCGCCAAAAACCCCCGGGAGCGCTCTGTTGTTGGATACACGTGGGCTAGTCACCGTCTCCAGTCACCTTTGGGCAAACGCATTCTTACAAACCAACATGAAGCCCATGCAGTGACATGCCGAGAGCCTGGGCCGATAGAGCCGGTCAAGAAATCATATTCTCGGATTCACGACACAATCCGCAGCCTGACTGATTCCGACGTCCACGAGGCGAAGCATGCAGGTCCCGACGAACACCGTGAATCTCAAGGTCCTCCACCGCGTGATAAGACTCAAGCTTGTCAAGATCGGGCCCAAAGCTTCCAGGACACTCCTAATCTGCAGAGACTTGAAGTCTACCATGTGTCTTATGAGCGCAAGCCTACACAATGGAAAGGTTCCAGTTCGTCAATATCCGCATCTTCTGAAGAGCCACGATCAGAAGATTACAATACTGCAGACGAAGCCCACTCATCTACCTCGCTTCCCCGGCAGGATGACATTGCTCCAGCCAGTCTCCCCCACAATGATGACTCTGTACCAAGTACATTGGGCATTACTAACAACGATGTGTTGCTCAGTGTGGGAGCTTCAAACACCGGTCTATGCAACACGCCGAAAGGACGAATGAACGGACGCATGGAGCAGTTGAGGAATGTACAAACAGACAGTCCATTTAAAATGCTCTTTGTCATCTGCTGTCACTGCAGCCATTGGCATGATCTGCCATCGGAACTGTATGCGAGACTCACGTCGCCGAGCGCATCTCCAGTCTCCAAAAAGCATAAGCTCTCCACTGTCCAGGGCGAATCACGTGCTGTCCATAAATGTATCGATGCAAATATACGCAAAGGTAGTTTGTCAGGACAGTGTGTCGATTCATCGTGTATCATGTCTTCTGCCTCAGCCGCAAGGTCTCAATCTCCGACTACGGTGCAATGCTGTTGGTGTAATCATCGCATGAATAGGTCATGTTGCCAGGGATGGACAACGATCATTCGCATGTGTCAAAGGCATCACTAGCAGTGTGATAGAGAAATTGTCGTCTGTATGATGACTGAGAGCGACTGTGAATTTCACTGGGAAAAAGACTCATGGGTTTAATGTTTGGCTTATTAGAACGCACTTCAGCGTTACTGGGGGACATCTTTCTGGATGCCGGACAAAACAATATTGAACCACGTATGTAAATAGAAGAATGAAAGACGAAAGGGACAGAACTCGCCAATGAGTCCCACGGCGGGATCGGCATCCGGGACTAGAATAACTTGTAATGGTTACACAGAGAAAGATAGAGCAACTGATAAGTGGAATAGTGGATAAGCCAGGGGCGTGGTATCTAGGTGCCGGCTTGCCGTTAGTCTACTACGTACTAGTACTTTTACTCCGAGCCCGCATGAACGACGAATCGTGGACAAGTCCTTTCTACCAAGGTACCACCCGCCGTGGTTAAACTCTTCGCCTCCATCCTTCTTGTACTCCTTTTACCAATCAGCAGGCCTTTAGATGGCTTGTTTCTGGCGCCATGGTGCGTCAAAGGAACCTCTCAAATGCTTCCTCGACTTCGTCTCTCCCCGAAAGTAATCAGGTATGTATTGCGACGCTATCCCATCGTGTTGATCTTCCTCCGCCATCAGTGCGCCCGCATCATAACCCCCCTTTCAATTAGCGGCATCTAATACCATGTAGGAGCTCGAGAGCATGTATGACTATCTGGCCAAGGTCATTCTTCTAGGGCCGAGCGGGGCGGGAAAGTAAGTCCTGATACTGAAGATAATAATCCGTCACACCTCCCCAGGCTCCATCGGTCACTGACATTTCCGCGACTGCAGGTCTTGCGTGTTACATCGTTTTGTGAAGAGCGAATGTATGATACTCTATCTCTGACTGGAATTTCATCACCCGATCTACAATCTATGCCAACCGCCCCGGTTTCCCACTCCCATTCCGGAATTGGAAGCGTTCGCTAATATGCCTTTCGCTTACAGGGCGAGTGCTGTCATCTCAGACAATCGGGGTTGAGTTTTCCTCAAAGATCGTCAAATTAGGCGCCGGGCCGCGACGAACACGGATTAAGCTGCAGCTGTGGGATACCGCTGGAACTGAGAGGTTCCGATCTGTGTCCAGATCATATTACCGAGGAGCTGCAGGGGCTATTCTCATCTATGATATTACATCTCATGCGTCATTTGTCTCCCTTCCCACGTTCCTCATGGATGCGCGTGCTCTTGCTTCCCCCAATCTGAGCGTCCTACTAGCCGGTAATAAGTCAGATCTTGCCTCCGACTCCGTGCCGCCTTGCGATTCTCTTGAAGACAATGCACGCTCACCTCCCACACCGTCTAGTACATCTAGCAGGATGTCTTTCCCATTTGGATCAAGCGGTGGCTCCGTTCGCTCAAACTACGATACCACAACGAGAATGACGGCAACGCATGCACTACATGGTCGTGAGGTCAGTACCGAAGAGACGTCGCACTGGGCTGCTAAGTCCAACATTCCCGTTGCCGTCGAGGTCTCAGCTCTCACGGGTGAGGGCGTAGAAGAGCTCTTCAACCGGCTGGCCCGGATAATTCTCACGAAGATCGAGTTGGGCGAGATTGATCCAGATGACCCCCAAAGCGGGATTCAATACGGTGACGGTGCTCTCTACGGCCATGGCACAAGCGATGGTTCCAGTATTCGAAGTCGCATCTCGCTCGACGACGGTGCTGTCCAACTACACCGTAGACAGCCAAGAAAGAATACCACTAACAATTGGAAGACTGGCATGAGGGAATGGGAGGATGTGTTTCGCTTGAGCGATCCGCACCAGAGGAGAGGTAGCGGCTGCTGCTAGTACTCCTTGGCCTGAATTACTACTCATCAGCAGCTTTGTTTCTTCGCGGTTATCCTCTTTTACTTGTTTCAAAGATCACACCTGTTACTAATTTCAACCTGCCACGATTGTCTGAGCCCGCCGCATATTGGCTTTGGCTTATAGAACGGCTGGTCGGTGGTCCAAGTTTCGTCGCGGAAGCGGACTGCGTCATTTCGGTTGATGGCTTAGTTTTGAACCTCTCGTAGCTTGTGAGGGGACCTTAAGGCCAGTGGATTTGGTTCGTGCAGCATGATACCCCCGGTAGTCAAGCACTGACACTACCCTGTTCAATAAGCGAATGGTTTGAGTCTTTAGGGATTTGCATTCCAGAAGTTGATTGTTATTAACTGTTTTTGCGTTATGTGTTGTCCGGCCAGTTATTCTCATGAGCTTTCTTACGGATACTTCGAACGCACAGGCTTGTGATGGCCAAGTTACAGCCAGCACCATCTGAAGTGGGGATACAGTTTCATAATATTAGAAGAGATTATCAAAGGGTCATACGATCTGGACCGAACCAATTGCCTGAAGATGCCTCGAGCTTTACATTCTGTGATCCAACAGACCTCGGATATGGAGAGACAATTTAAATGGGAAGAAAGCAAGCGACACTGAGGAATGATTGACGTTTAAAGCAAAGGGTTGCCGTCTGCTGCAATATTGCTAATATGCCTGACGAATTCTATGAATCGACACCAGCAATAAGCGTTTTGATGCCCTTTCCAGCTCTAACTTCTTCGAATGCTCGCTCGGCGTCCTCGAACTTGACGACACCCGTGATCAATTCCTTCACGTTCACCTTTCCAGCGCTTACTAAGGAGACTGCAAGCTTATAGTCACCACTCCCATAACGGAAGCTGCCCTTGACGTTCAGTTCTTTGGTGCAAGCCGCCATTATTGGAAAGGTGATTTCGCTTCTACCCATACCGCCCTGGACATATGTTCCCCCAGCACGCAGAACGTGAATGCCTGTATGAACCGAGGGCTCTGCTCCTGAAGCGTCAATGGCAACATCTGCACCCGAGCCTAGATCATTCTCGGTTATTATCCGTTGAGCGTTCTCCAACGCTGCGGCTTTAGCTGGCTCAAACGTGGCAGTTGCTGCATACTTCTTCGCAAAGTCTAGCCTACCCTTTTGAATGTCAACCGCGATAACCTTGGACGCACCGTAAGCCTTCGCCACAGCACAGCAGAGAAGTCCGACGGGGCCAGCACCAAAGACTACCACTGATTGACCCGGGTTGATCCCAGCCTGTTTAACGATATGGACGGCGACACTAAGGGGCTCCATGATCGCACCCTCCTGTAGGGTGATGCTTTCAGGAAGCTTATAGCAAAAGTCCTCGGGCAGGACGTAATACTTGGCCAAGGTACCATCATATGGAGGTGTCGCTGCGAAAGCCATTTTCACGCAGAGATTATATTTCCCCGCCTTGCATGGTTCGCAGCGGCGACATGGGATTCCTGGTTCCATTGCAACGCAGTCTCCTACCTTTAGACTGGTAACGGCAGAGCCAACCTTGCTGACAACACCGGAAGATTCATGTCCCAGGACCATGGGATCCTTGACAATGAATTGGCCAATGGAGCCATGTTCCCAATAATGAACCTTGAGGGTGAAAATATCCGACATGTCAGCTAGGCAGGCCTTTGATTCTGTCTCGTGGGCTTCGGTTATACGCACATCACTACCACATATACCTGTGAACCTGACATTCACCAGTACGTCGTGAGGATTGTTGATCTCTGGGATTGGCCGGTCTTCGAATTTGACGCGGTGAATTCCCTCGAGGACGAAGGAAAGATTCTGGTAATGGTTGAGGTCATTAGCGATCATTTCGGTTGTGCCACTTTGGGCTGATGGTGGGAGTGACGAGCCACCATTGACCCTATGTAATGAGAGTTCAATGCACGTACCTGAGCGTTGGTGTTCTGGGTGCTCATGATGGTTGAAGACAAAAAGACACACGGACAAAGCCAGCTGACTCGATATGTTGTAGGAGGTAGAGCTCTTGAGCTGGAGAATGGCTAGAAAAACGAGTATCGGCACTGAATTTCAGCTTCTAGGATTTACCCTTTCTTTCCTTATTTATCCCTTTGCCCTCGGCCTTTTCTTAAATTTCGGATATGTCGCCCTAGTGAATTGGTTGCTTCTCGATCCATATTGGGTAGCTTGGTAGGAGGTATCGACGTAAGTACTAAGGTATGGGGTAGAGGAGGCGGGGTGGAAAGCCCCTCATTGGTTCAGAATTAACCGGCGCAGCGCCAAATTTACCCGGACAAGGCGGCTGACCGGCTATATTGGTAAGTGTTCGGTAGTGAATAGATAGTTAACCTAGTCAAATACATTGAATTCTTGGGTCTAGAATAGTTGAAAACTGATTATATACCACAGGCTGCCAATGGACCTGTTCACTTAGCCCCCATAATTGTCCAATGACTTGAGGAAAACGAGTATACTCAGTACACTGCGGTAATCATGATTGGCACAACCTGATCGGGCTGACCTATAGTAGAATGAATTACTATTAGTACAAAGTAGCACTGGGCGTTCATATGAAAGACTGCGTATAGGTAGCCCTATTGGTACGTAATGAGTTGAGTATGGCCTATGCCGAGTGAGTTACGGTTTAACACATTGTTCGAATAGCTGAATAAAAAGGTGTCTTGCATACGGAGTAGTAGAGATTGCCTTGGCTAGTAAGCTATCTAACTAGATACTACCTTGGTACTAATTTGTAGGTGAGCTACCGCAGCCTTAACCGCTTTGGGATTAGTCCAACTTAGCTAGCAATCGATCCATTCTCTATCTGTTCTACCATCCATCCATCAATCCGGATATTCATGTTCCTTCATCGTCTACCATTACCGTCGGCCCGCCTCTCCAGTTCTCGTATTTTGCGCCTGGGTTGACTGTGATTTTAACTGCTCACCACGCGATGGTTTCACCCTAAAAACCACTGTCTCAACAAGGGTCCCTCTTCCATGCTGACTGTCGCCCTTTTGCTCCCCAACATGATCAGACCCGATTCTTATCTTCGTCCGCGGGGCGCCATGCGCGCTCTTCTCCCAAGGGCTGGGTGCCACTTCAGCCGTTCGCTACGCTTAGGATCTCAGAGGAGGGGTTTGCAATGGTCCGTTCCCCATCGCGCCGATGAGAAACCTCAGTCCTTCAAGCATCAATTATACGAAAGTACACAACAACGCCTCAAACGTGAGCGTGCTGAACAGGAACGATACTCACAGTTCCAGTCCCAATCCCAGGGCAGTCGCAACGTGGCGTTGATGCTTGGTATGCCTATTGCCCGAGGCCCGCCCCATGAACATCTCTGGATCTCTCGAGACCTTGATTGCTGATGTCATTGTGCTAGCATTGGCCTTTTTCTCCACGGGGGCTTACTATCTGGGATCGTTGAAACCTGCTGAGCTTCCCACCTCGTCAACAAGCTCCGTCTATGATACACAGTCACCGCGACATAACGTTTCTCCCTCAAATCTACAGGCTGCTTGGGCGGACTTCGTTGACATTTTAGGGAAAGACAATGTCTCCACACAAAATGCCGACTTAGATATGCATGCAGGATCTGACTGGTCTTCCTACGCCCTGAAAGAGGGGGAAAGACCGTTCCTCATCCTCTACCCATCTACTACGGAGGAGGTATCTCGAATCATGAAGGTTTGCCATCAACGGTTGATCCCAGTAACCCCTTACTCAGGCGGTACCAGCTTGGAGGGCCATTTTGCGCCCACGCGGGGTGGTATATGCATTGATTTCCGTCGTATGGATCGTATTCTGGGTCTCCATAAGCAGGATCTAGACGTCGTGGTCCAGCCTGCCGTTGGCTGGGAGGAGCTGAATGAACATCTTTCTCAGGATGGTCTTTTCTTTCCTCCGGATCCGGGCCCTGGTGCTATGATCGGTGGCATGATTGGCACGGGCTGTTCGGGAACAAATGCCTACAGGTATGGCACTATGCGTGATTGGGTGCTTTCTTTGACGGTAGTGCTTGCCGACGGGACTATTATTAAGACCAGGCAACGTCCACGGAAGTCAAGCGCTGGTTACGATCTTACAAGACTCTTTATTGGGAGTGAAGGCACCCTCGGTCTGGTGACTGAGGCTACGTTGAAGCTGACGGTCAAACCTAAGAGCCAAAATGTCGCCGTCGCGAGTTTCTCTACGGTACAGAATGCGGCAGAGTGCGTGACACGCGTAGTGGAAGAAGGTATCCCAGTAGCTGGGGTCGAGATCCTGGATGACGTGCAGATGAAATGCATCAACGAAAGTCAGTCCACCAGCCGACACTGGAAGGAAGCGCCTACCATATTTTTCAAGTTTGCGGGTACCCCTGTTGGCGTGAAGGAGCAAATAAACATGGTGCAGAAGATTGTTTCTTCTACTGCGGGCCGGTCCTTCGAGTTTGCCCGAGGTGAGAGCGAAATGCAAGAACTCTGGAGCGCCCGGAAACAAGCACTATGGAGCGTTATGTCCATGAGGCGAGGTCCTGAGGACCATGTCTGGACGACTGATGTGGCTGTCCCTATAAGCAAATTACCCGAAATCATCGAGGCCACCAAACAAGACATGACTGAAAGTGGTTTGTTGGCGGGAATGTGCGGTCATGTCGGCGACGGCAATTTTCATGGTAGGGATTTCTGCTTTCCAATACCCCCAAGCCAATTGGATCAGTCTCTAACGCGCGGCAGCGATCATCCTCTTCAATAAAGACGAGAAAGCAACAGCCGAGGCCGTGGTCCATCGGATGGTAAAGCGGGCTGTTGAACTAGAAGGTACAGTTACTGGCGAGCACGGAGTTGGCCTCGTCAAGCGGGATTACCTGCAACATGAACTAGGGGAGTCGACAGTGGATGCTATGCGCCGGGTAAGTAGTCATACATCCCATCTTCCACCATAACACATGGAATCCGTCGTACTAATGCAGGCGGTTCACGCGCCGTAGCTCAAATTAGCTTATGACCCCCTTTGCTTGCTCAATTGCGATAAAGTTGTGCGGGTTGAGCCACCGGCGCCAGGAGAAGTCAAGGAATGGTAAGCACACAAGTCAATCTCTTGATAAGCCAATTCTACATGTTTTCAGATACATACGCATATGTCATGGTAGTAGACAATTAAATATCCCCTCCTGGCCCCAGTATTTTCATCCCTTGCCTTCTGCCACCTTCGCTCAAAGAGAGCGCGCGCGCGCGCGAGAGAGAAAGAGAAAGGTTGGGGGACGTTGCTTCCCGGCACAAATATACTAATATACCCATATAGATAATGGTTCTCTATCATGTAGCCTGCTCTTGTACTTTGCGATGGTCAGAACAGGTACTCTCTTGTCTCATTATTAGTATACACGCAGTACAAACCCGACTGTTGTAACGCGGTCCGTTCATAGGTGACTTATGAGAGCTGTTTCTCCCTTGAGTGTCAAGTGAATTAGTGCAACTGAGTAGATACTTCCGTGTCTCCAGGCGTACAAAACAACAGTACTTTTGAAGCCCGGTGCTGAGGAAATGGGAAGGTGCAAGTGTAGATCGTTGGTCTCTCCCGGTCGGGACCCTGACGAGTCGGTCTAGACATAGTTAATTAATACTACTTAGTAAGTATATACCTACGTGATCTGGTAAACTCAGTGTGTACTGTAAAGGCTGCCTATATATACAGTATTCCCTTCTCATGATCTATCTATCTACTCTAGATAGTTGCTTAACTGCTCTGAGCTTATCTCATCACTATCATCACTAAGAACTAAGAACTAACTAATCTTTTTGATCAGATTATGATTAGTTAACTGACTATCCCCCACATGCAAAATTCAAAGGCCAGCCCGATCGTTCGGAAGAGCCGGGAAGTCGAGTTATCAGAACGCCTCCGCAGTCCGCATGCGTCGCGCCGACTTCACCGCCGCCTTCCCAGAATTAGAATTCCCTCCACTATTTACCTCACTACTACCACTACTACTGCAAACTACTACCATCACGTCTCCTAGCGCTACTCCTCCTCCTCTTCCTCCTCCTCCCTCTCCTCGGTCGCCCATCTCTCTTCTATCTCTCTCTCTCTCTCTCTCTCTTTTTCCTTTCCCCGCTTCCCTTCCCCTCAATACTCCCGCTCTTCTTTATCTTACACTTCAACTAAACACACAACCCCTCCCACCCCCGGGTACTTGTTGCAGCTTGCTTATCTCCTCTTACTCCCTTCCCTTTTTCGACGGAGATGCCTATTTTCGACATCAATCACCATTGCTTTGCCTCTTAAGACTTGCTTCGCCAGCTCATCTATGATCGTACTGGTCTCGTCTTACCCTCGCGCTCTCTTGGAGTTTCTGACGGGTCTGAGTGTCTGTTATTGACTTTCATATTGTACTTATCGTATTTCATCGTTGCCATTTCACCCCGTCATAGGATTACCCTTCTTTCTATTCCGTACTACTTTTCTCTGCAGCCAAGCTTCTTGCTGTGTCTGCTTGTTTGTTACGTTTCAGCCGACAATGCATTGCGTAAAGGACCACTGAACTCTTTTTTTCTTTTTTTCGCTTCTGTTAGTGGCTTGGAAATCGAGACAACTGTTGCAGTGAGTTAACCCGCGACTGGCTCACACGGCACGTCCGAAGACGACTTCTACGAGCTTCAGTTGCACCCCTCACTCGGCATTCCAGGACCAAGCGACCGGTCCGTTTTGACGCAATTATTCTCGTTCGGTGAGCCTGAAACAGTCCATTTACGAGATCGGACAGGGTCGCATCGCAATGAAGATAAAGTCTTGCCTCACTGATCTTCCTATTTCAGCGATTCTGAGAGTAGTACGTCTCCACTGATTGCACCTGGGAGGTCAAGTTCACCACAAGAGGTGGATTTTCTTTTTTATCTCTGCCAGGCACACTCGCCGAATTGTGTCTACTTCACGAGCCGCCTGGAAGATTCATATCGGCCATACATCCATAACTACTACACTGGGTGCTTCGGCTGGCTTTATTGTCTTTGTCTCTGCGCATGTACGAGTCAGCGAGGAATAAAATGCAGCGAATGCCTTTACTCAGAAAAGCATCATATGGTGGCTCATCACCGGCCACAGTCGACCTTTCGCGGCCATCATTCGAACAGGAAGGCTTGGGCATTTATGCAAAATACGACAAAGCAGCAGCTCGGGCCGAAACAATCAGCCATCCTCCCTCAGGGAAAAGCCCCTCTGCTTTTCGTTGTCAATCCACAAGTGCAATGTCTCAAGCGTCCACAGCCAGCAGTTCAGCCATGAATAAACCAGGCTCACAATATGTTCATCCCATGCGTCTCGCTCCACGTGCCTATACACCACCGTTAAATCAATCGTGCCAAGCATCCATACTTGAGAGCGATGATTCTTCCAAGGATCCATTTGCGGGGAGCAATTCCCCGACACAGTCAGGATTAGAGTTCTTCAAGCCGGGGCCAACCAATTCAAGCAAGACACCCCGATTATCGCTGCAAACTCATGATAGCTCTTCCACAAGGTCGCCTGGGGTTTCTCAGACAAATATAACCGGCCGTTCATCTTTCGGATACTCCCGAGACAACGGAAGCACCTTGGACACAACGTCTCCAGTATCTAGGTCATCTTTGGATTTTGTTTTCCGATCTAAGACGCGTACGAGCATGGACCCTGTAGCTCGGGCGGCTACGGTACAAGCAGCACGTCAGGCTTTCGAAGAGAAAGAGGCTGCCAAAACATGGAGGTTTGAGGCTCAACAGATGAAGGCCGAGGAAAAGCAAACAAAGCAAAGGGGGAAGCAGCATCTGCAAACAAGGTTCACTGGCGATGACGTAGATCTGGAGGACGGCCAAGAGGAAATATCTGACAAGCCTCAGCCTTCAACTTCACAGTCAGAATCATGTCCGGAGACCTGGAGATCACAACCTAAAAATACATGGGTGCTCTTCTTAACGTGGTTACGAACTAGGATCTTTAAGTTGCGAAGAAGGATTCGAAGATTAGCCTGAAATTAATCTAGGTATGTGATGAGATCTTGTTTATGATTACATATACAAAGCACTGGGGCATTTATACCAGTGGTGTATAGGGCTGCTTTACTCCCTACTAGTAAGAATTCTAGGTAACTCAAAATTACGCATGCTGCCGGGATGTTCTGTTAATCTCATTCATTAGCCTCGCACATCCTCCCCTCCCAGAACCAATAATTCTTATACAATATATGGAAATGAAAACGAAAATGACACAACATAAGGGGAATTACGTAAAAGATAGAAATGTATATACAAAGGAATGAAATGGGGGAAATAATATGAGACAGCTAAGACAGCCACCCCAGCAAGTTTGCCCAGCTTAATTAAAAGCAAGCACCGAAATGAATACAACAGTGTACTATACTATCTCTAAAAAATTGCAGTGACCTGAGATGATAGATTGGGATTAACTAGAGCAGTGTAACAATTTAAAGTCATAGTTGTATC